CTTACTACATGGAACATTCTCACAGATAACTAGTTTATCCATTCTGTTAGACGGGCCTGAAATTTTAAAGGCAATAAGGTTCTGAACTTTAACACTTTTCTAATCGGGAAACAAGTCAAGAATTGGGGCACCTGTCTGAGGCCTGGAATGACTTGGGTTAGTTTGTAGAGAGAGAAAGCTCTGACTCAGCCTGACAAGCTACGATTCTGGGACTTAACTAGAAGGCGATTTGATGTCGTTTCGTAAAGGAATGATTCCGAAGTTTAATATAATCATTCTGAAAGTGTTTAATTCCGTTATAAAATAGACGTGAACAGTGTTTTTATCCTTAAGACATGCTGGATTGCCTTTGAGTTCCGACCAAGGTGGTTTCAGTTTAGTGAGTTCTTGAACCACCGTTGAGAAATCACTTTCGAATTCCTCAAAATTCTCTGACACTGTTCGCAACCATGCACATGCGTGTTGTGGCCAAGGTTTTGGCCTCAGGTTTAACACCCAACTGGAACTCACGATTGTCCTACCATTACGGATTCATTCTATTGCCCGGCCTCATTGCATTGGCTGGTAAGCTCCCTCACTGTCTCTGCACGACCGCCCAGCGCTACCCCGTTAGGGGCCTACCCTAGAAATCGCTCCTGGTACCCCCGACGTGAGATTCCCAGTGAGTAGGCCGAGTTTGAAAAACCCTGCAGACCTCTTCTACCAGCGCCCTACCAATTAGCACGCAACGCGCGAGAGCGCCTGTGCCGCACACACGCACGGCTCCGGCCACCACTAGCGCCAGCACAAACCCACATGACCGCACGTCGTGGTTTCATTCAGGAGGAAGCAAGTCCTACGTGCGGGTGAACACAGGGGATTCTAAAAATGTGGGCAGAGCAACTAGCACGGATGCTGTGGATATTACTTATACTGGTGGCTCTATCGGCCCACGTAAGTACGCACACCTATTTCTTACTACTGTTTCCCATCAGGAACTGGGACGGTGTAGATGAGTATTAAAACTTGTACTAGTTATCCATTAAACGAGCCTGTTTCTGATAAACGCGTGTGCTAACTGGTTTCCGATGAGCCAGCACTTAAATCTACAGCGCATTAAAATTAGCAGAACGTGTACCGGTGTGGGACACGCAAGTAATCATTTTAAATTCCACGGCAATTTAAACCAGGTCGTAATAAAAGTACAACCTTAATTTTAACCATCCCGATGTAGAAAATCGGGCGTAATTTTCCCTCCGATTTCATAAGTAGATAGTTTTCAAAACAGCAAATAGTTTGACGATTTAAATGTGATGAATATATGTGGAAAGCAATGATATAATCGACTGTGAATTTTTAAGCGATTTCCTTCATGGATGGAAAAATAGTAATGTAATCTGATTTCCCATTATATAACAGTGAGTAGCTAAATTAACTTTTAAGGCTACGGGAAATTTGTTTTTTTTCTGATTTCTTTACGTAGTTTAGTGTTGATTTTGATAAACACGTTCAGCAGTGCACTCAACACAAGACTTCTTCGTTTATTACTTAATTGCAATTGTATCGATAAATTTGCCTTAAGGTTTAGTCATTTCCGTACCCTTGAATACCTAGAAATTCAACAGCATGTCTGTGCATAGATATGACTTCAGTTATATGAAAACTCCCAACAAGGTTTCGTTTCGACAAACGAATCCCCTGTAAGATTGTGGACCAGATTCTGACAGTCTCAAAGATTTTGGGCAAAATTTGATGCCAAAAAGCTCTTCTGGTGTTTTGATTGATGCCGGTGCCAAGAATTCAACGAAAACTTTTTGAATGCGTTGCTGATCTGACCTTGGCCCGGTTTTTTCTGTGTTGGCGCGCAGGTTCCTCCTCCTTTTCCATTCTCCCTCAAGCCCGCTTTGCATCTACTTGCCAGTTAGCCATCGGGCAAACTGGTTTTCTGTTTCGCATGAAACAGTAAACTACAAAATTAGATTTTTCAGATGACATTGGTGTATGGTGGACACCAAGGTTCACGCGCACAGGGGCTTCTAAGCAGCTTTTATTCCGGATGCTAACGTTTCTCTTGCATTCACTCTTCTCTATAGAGAGGTAAACAAAATTTTTCAGGGACGCTAGCCTGATAAATTTTCGAACGCTTGAGCGAGACTACAAGTCCATTTTAGTCGATTTGGAAGATAAGGGCCAAGAGTAGGTGATTGTAAAAGATTCTAACCGATTTTCATAGACGGCAAAAGATAACAGTTTCGACTGTGAGGATGTTACTCTTGCAATCATTTTCTTAACTGACATTTACCAAAATGTATTGTTGGTTATCGCAGCCTTTTAAAGTAATTTGAAAGTTGAATATTATTTTATGTGCTAATAATTCAACTGCACGTTCGTCATTTAAAACATCTTGGAAGCAATTCGAAGCTCAATAAATTGGTTCCACACGTTTTGACTGAACAAAGCAAACTAAACCGTGTTTCCACAGCCATTCCTCTCCCTGCCCGTAAAAACTAACCTTTCTTGGATCAACTTATAACAGGAGACGAAAAGGATGTGTGCATAGCAACATAATTAGAAAAAGAAGCTGGAACCACGGAACAGAAAACAAGGTGCATATATGAGAGAGGCTGAATTGCGTCCTACGAAATGTGAAAGCTAAATAGCCGACGTGGAGAATTACCGCAAGCTACTTACCTAATTCACTGTTTAAATCTAATGAAAACGTTGAAATCACATTAATCGAAAAGATATTACCATTCACCAAGATAACGCCAGGCCACATGTTATTTAACCTGGTAAAGCAATGTGAAAAATCACCCAGAACACACCGTATTCTTCTGAATATATCCCTTCATATATTGATCTAGGACATTCCCTGGAAAATAATATATGGGAAAAATCGACAATTGAATAAATAAAAAGATAAGTTATGAATTTTTGAGTAGAAACCATACAGCTTCTAAAAGAAAGGGATCCAGGGATTAATAAACTTCTGGCAGACGGTTGTAGGAGATGATGAAAATTAGATTATTGATAATGTGCCCTATTTAATTAGTTTTCCAATCGTTCCCTAATTTATGCAATCTTTTAAAATGAACAGGAATTCTATAGGGCTCTTTCATTTGTTATCCACAGAAGTACAAAAGATCGACTTTCAGTGTCCCCGATGTGCCAGACACTTTTCTATAACTTTTTTCTTACATTCCAATGTTATCTCTGGATGCATTGTTCCCCATTTTTGTCACTTTTTTTATGACATTTCAAGTAGATAGTCATTATACGCCTGTAAATGGGATCATATTGATTTTGAAGACAACCAGTAGTCGCTGTCTTCTCGTTTTATGCCCGTAGTTTGAATCTATTTTGATTCTCATGTTGCTGACATGAAGATAAGTAATACCTACATAAAGCACTGCCTACGTCGTGTGCTGAGGCTTATGACATGTTCATCAGCTCATTTCGCAAAAAAAGCATTTCAGCCACCGAAATTCAAAACAAAAAATCGCAAGCTCCTATGGATTGTCATTTTATCGTGTGGGATCACCTGAAAAAGCCTTCGACCGATCAACTAAGGATTTACTCGAAATTCGACTGCTTTAGTATTGGTAGCTTGACTGCAGCTAGCGATTCTTACCTCACAACCTTTGCGTACTCCAGTTTAGAAGACTTCTATGTAAGCAATTAAAAGATTACTTCGAATATTTCATTTTGGAGCCCTTTCAATGGCTACAAACGCAAACACACGAAAATTTATCTAGTGACTCGTTACGACCTCGTCAATAACCCAAAGGTCATGTGGTAGCAGTTATCACTGGCAGGTGACATGGCAGTTCCACCTTTCAGCAAGCTGCGAGCTGTCAAATTAAATCGTCCTAAACATAAGTGATGTAAATACGTTTTAACCTGACGATCCTATTCAACTCTTTGGAAAACCACTGCTTTGGGTCGCAGAGTCAGACCCCTCCGCTCCGAGTAATCCCATTTTTTCTTCAAAAATATGCCTCTTAGAGTGCAAAAAATCTGCGCCATCGATTTGAACCTGGCATCAGACGTAGATTGAAGTTCACGACACTGGGAATCACTGGGTTTTATGTTTGCTCTTCAAAGCTCTCCAGGTATGACTTAACCAGCAACCATTTGTATTCATTTTTAACTAATCGGAAGTGTGTCGGTTGCACAAGCATAGGAAAAAGTCCTAATTAGCACAGCCCCACGAAAGTTGGTAGGACAAGTGTTGTCCTGCCCTACCTTTTTTGTGCCTTTTACAGAAACGAACGCCTTCCGCTAAAGTGCGGTCACAGCTTCTTTCTCAAACTTGATTCTGCGCACATCTCATGAGCGCCGTTAGTCGCAGTTATCTTTAGAACACTCGCATGACTGTTGCTTTTCTGGCCATAAAACCAGAATTAGCGAACATTAAGGACATAATCGGAGAGTCCGTAGATGTAACTCTACAGTTTATACTTGAAAAACCGTCCTAATGCTCTGTAGTATTTCCGTTCGAAAACCTACATCGACATATTCCCTTTTTTCATTGTAAGCAAAGTGCATTTGTCGAATGAAATTGGAAATTTCAACTCACATCCATTGGAACGCAAATAATTATTGTAGGAATTTCGATTTAAGGGAACCATTTCATCTCCGCGCTTCCACGCAACAATTAGTACTCATAAAAATTCTCATATGGTCCGATGAACCAGGATTGTAGACGTTTCTCGCTAAACCACATCGCCAACACTTCTGGCATTTATTTTTGAGTTTTTCTGGAAGGCTGCAAGAGGTTTATAAGGACGCACCAGCCACGTTGTGAAAAGTTTGAAAGATAAATGTTAGGTTTTTCTGTGAAGCTATCTATTTTGCTCTATTGCCGCGTTAGTTCCAGTTCTTTTCACCCGTCAAGATTCTCCTCGTCCTAGAAAACTTAATTGACATGGCGATTGTGTCGTAGTTTGCTAGTCCAAAATTTTTAACGATAGGCTGTGCTCTGATTAGCTTTCTTACATTTGAAAACTGTGGGCTTTAAAATGGTAAGATCATGGATATTTGGGTTAAACTCTTTCCCTTTGCACTTGACTACATTTTATGTTGACTTGAGGAAAGTATCGTGGAACTATTCAAAACATCAACTTGTTGTATGAATTGTTGGAAATTCCATCTGAGGTCTTCCAATGTAGTCAAAGTTTTGTTTCTACATTAGGTATCTCGGTGCAACGAAACCCTTGCTATCTATCCTGCAGAGTACCAAGAGCACACGACATCAGCAAACGAGTCAACAGTACCAGCGGATTCTACATCCACCACTCAGGCGACCTTTGCAGTCAATGAATCCGCCTTCTGGGCCATGGTTCGGCAGCAGGAGACGGAATTCGAGGAGGCGCAGTCGAAGCACCTTCACGTAGAGCACAAAATTACAGAAAATCATCCAATGGAGATTACGACGACAACGCCAGTAACAACGACACGACAGACACCAACCACAATGGTTGAATTTTGGACTTCAGAAGAAGCGGAATTGACTGACACCACTTCTCTTCTTTCAACTGATGCAAAGTTGGTTTCACTGAAGGGGTTACAAGGCCTTCTAGACCCCGGTTATAATAAGCGTAAGTTAGCACACTCGTGTTTCTATCGAGTCACACGTAAACCATTGCTACTGTGCTAGCAATGATACTTCGTTAGGGTCGAAGCCCTACTAGGTGTGGTCGTTATCGCTCTTGTGTTTCTACTTCTCCATTTCGGCTAATTGACATTGGGCGGCTAATCGTTGCTCGAGTCTAGATCGAGAAACCTCTTCATATCATGCGTCCAAATTCAGAGTGTTGCACATTTTCTACTGTCATTAGAAAATTTTAGCAAATATTTCCTGAAACCAGAATTACACATTAAAAGATTGGAAAGGCCCTACGTTAGTTGCGCCCTCTCGACCTAATATCCTTTGCTTGTCTTCACCAAAATATTCTGCCAGAAGTTGTGATCCTTTTCGATCATATCAGGTTTCCTTAAAAACATTCTGGCAAAGGTTTGTACCCATGACCTTTCACAAAAGAAGTAATCACAGCGTCTGGGCCATTTTTTACTCATTTACACGCTTTTTTTCAAATCTGCACCTAACTTTGCGTCGCATCGAACTTTCAGGTTTATCGAATGATTTCCTCGCTCTTCCATTGCATTTTGACATCAAAAATTTTCCTATATTTTGTTCCTCCGTTATTTTATGTGTAAGAGCTTCCCTAGGCACATTTTAGTTGCATTTACAACTGATTAAATTAAAATTTCGAGCTATGCTTATACCATAGCGCAAGCCCTAAACTCTTGCTTGATGTTTAATCGCTGCTCCTAAGCTCAGATATCAAGGTATTGTTTGTATAATGTAGACTGAATGTCGTGTTTAGTGCGAAAAAGATGTGAGACAAGTCGTAGATTCATGTCTGGCGTTCACACCAGCTACCATTGAAACCGCAGTTACTAATGAGTTCAAGCCCTGATTTGATTCGAAAAATGGAATGTGCCTGTTACCAAGATGGTCTTAAATATGGTTGCCCTTCGGTTAGCAGCGTATCGTTCTATTTTCTTCTAACCAGTTGGATTCCCTACTAGACTTCTACACGGCAAATCATTGACCCAGGACTTTGTAAGACTTTATTTTCACTGTGCAATAATACCTATTACAAAATTCGCCCTTCCCACACCCAGACATTCATTCTCAAACCTGCTGGTGTCTTTTTATCCAACTGGTGTGGTTGATGAAAGGGCCTTTATCTTTTTTCAAGCCAGCTGCTAGAACTCCTGCCTTGCCCATTTTCATAATTTTATCAACGGATCTCTGTTTAAATGGTGGGGTTTCCCCAAACAACCTCTATACTGTGTGGATATTTGTTTAAAAATAATCCCATCACGGGGCAAATGGTGTAATGCAAAGATGCGTCTGTGCGAGTGTGTTTGCAGATCTATTTTGTCCGTGTGCAGTGGGCAGACGCACCCTGCCCAAATGTTAAAAAATGCCCACTTGTGGACAATGTGACTCATCCGGTGAGATTTCCGTTCTGCAAAAAATTAACCCAAACGCTTGGTCACCAGGGTTGCATAAGAATATTAGTTTCCAAACATGAGGTGGCTTGGCATTCATAATTTTCTAAAGGCGCGACCAAGCCGTCCGCATTGCAGTTATTCGAACAACCGAGATGAGACGCTCAGATAAATCCAGAACTGTCACTATTTATAGCAAAGAAACTAGGAAACCAGAGATTTTCTTCTCGTAGTAAGAAAGAATTTACTATCCAACCGCATACATTTCTTTGTCAACCACAAGCCAAATTGTGGCAAAAAGACATCTAAAGAAAAGCAAATAAACTTAGGCCTCCCAGCCCTACATTTTGGAAATCCGTCAGCGCCCTTCAAGTGCACTCTTTATTAGTACAAAAAAATTAACTTTAGGCCTAAATTCACTTTCCGTGCCCGTTTCCAAAAACTCCGCCGCCATCCACAGCGAAAGTTCTGTAAATACAAAATATAAAAGGACATCTGTAAGAAAATAAACCATTTATGCAGAATGTTTGCTTTTGAAAACGGATAACTCACTTGAATCGGCAGAATCGGGTTCATTAATGCACTTCCCCCAGCACAGGCTTCAATTACTCAATTGGAAATAATTCCTTTCAATTTCCGGTCATGCGCGCGGACGTCCAGCATGTGCGTACATTCCACGAAACATCGGTGCCACTTGTGAAAGCGAAGCAAAAGCCCGTAGATTCAGTAGCGCCCTAATTGTGGCGCAGTATGAGATAATTAGTCGCTTTTTGTAACATCAAAGGATATGTTTGACCTTGATAAACATTAGGATTTCGTTTTCAACTAATGACTGCACTTACATTCGTAGATGTATGCTGCATTTAAACACTGTTCTACATTTACCTGTTATGAGTGCATTTGGAGCCCTTCGTTGAAAACATTTTACATAAAGTGTTGCAGAAGTGTATGCCGATAAAATCTGCAAACGGTGTGATCAGACAAATTTGTCCAGAGCACAAAATAAACAAATCCGATCCAAATCGACGCGTTTACCTCCGTAAGTGTGCAAGTCACCCCAGCAGCATTCGCCCTACAATCCTTCCCAAGTGGCTTTTTAAACCGTCACTGCGCTGTCGTGTATGACGATTGAAGACCACCTGCCACAATGTCAAGCCCGGGCTGTCCTCCCTCTTTGTTACCAAGGTGGTCTCATGGCAATCGGCATGACGTCCGGATTGTGGGTCATCTTTCAAGTTGGCATTCCCAAAACAGGATTGTACATGCTTGATCTCTTGTGTATTTATGTTTGCCTCGTGTGCTGTCCGAGTGTGTCCAGTTGTATTTACTGCGTGGTTGCCTCGTAAAACTCCTAGTCCCCTTCAAGCCGAATGCAATGATTTGAGTCCATTGTTTTAACCGCAAAACAAGTCGTAGAGCCAAATGCTACTATTAACCACATTGACAACAATCATTGGCAAGTGGCTAGTTATAACGGCGTCAATTTGTGTTTGAGCGCACTTCTTTCTGCTTATCTGGCAAGATTGCGTTGACTTCGATTGGATTATCGAAGTTGACAATGTGTGGATTATGCCGTCGAAGACGCCAGAGAATTATTTTCCTTTCGGCAGACGGGGAGCCCTACACTCTAGTACACCATGCACACCGTCAGACATCTAGTTCTAAATCAAGGTCCAAGGCTGGAATGTTAATGACAAGGCAGCTGCACTATAGGAGGATTATGGCAACCCCAACGCCTACGCATTTCACAGTTAATAACACGCATACCACACACCGCATTGGCCGTTAGTAAACAGTTTGACATTTTGCAGTAATGTATTCCCCCAAACCGCGTCAATTACAAGTGCGGGGATTCAATTTCCTGCCCAAAGTTAATAGATTTCCAGTTGAACCAGAAATCGTGGTCTTTTTAGTCGTGATAGGGCTGTATTTACCAAACTAGCTGTAACTTTAATTAAATTTATTTTTCAAATACAATTTTTTTTTAAAATGTACTTGGACATCTTCAGTTCATTGGTCTTACTCGCGTGTTTTTAAAACTTATGTGGTTTGTTTATGCGTCTGCGTATATGGTTAAGGTGTTATCCATTGGAATTAAGAAATTCGGAAAGAAACTAAGATAGAGGGCTCATGCTTCTCCATTATTTTAGAAAACTGCAGAGTCATGCCACTCATAACGACTTGCTCGGAAACCGAAATGACTCAAGACTTCCTTTGGTACTATGATCAGATCGAAAAACGCTGCCTAGTCACCTCCGACTGCATTTTGAACGAGAATCGCTTCGAAAGTGAGGCTGACTGCGAATCGACGTGCCTGCCGAAATCACGTGAGCTGCCACTCTTTACAGAACGCCCAATATTTAACTTCCGTACTTCGAGTACTTATGAGCCAAAATTCAATTCCCTATCACATTAAAGCAACAGCACCGATAATAATGCATGGTTTTTTGGAGCTTGCTTCTAATTCAAATCCAGTAGAAGTATCTGTTCGTTTAATAAGAACTCTGCAGACGGCATAAACTCCGCATTTATGACACTTGATTGATGGAAATGCGCAAATAGGCCATGAGAGTCCTCGAAAGAAGATGCCATTGTGTATCCGAGCCCAAGGACCCACATAAATGGTGTTAATTTTTACCTCAAGCACTGCGGCGATGCCTGGACCCCCCACAAGCTGGCTACGCGCATTGCGGCTACGGCACCAACAAGCTGGGACCCACTACCACCATTCAGAAGGCGTACTTCGACAAGGTCCTGGAACGATGTTCGTGGTTTGTCTATCTTGGATGTGGCGGCAGTGACAACCAATTTTCTTCTATTGAAGAATGCAACAAGACATGCATGTCCACTGAAGCACTTACCACAATTCGGCAACGTAAGTTGAACTGGATGTTTAGCCACATTAAATCTGTTCTCCGCAGATTTCAAAGACATCTTTCGATTTCGTATAATTTGCCTTGGTCATTGGGTGTCTCGAATGCTTCTATAAACTAAAGAAATTGAATACATTCGTTACTTTATCCATTCAGTTCGGCTCCAACTTTTAAAAATTCCGCGTATTTTGTAAATAACTGGTCATAGGTTCGAAGTGTTTGTAGTGTTTGTGAAATTCAGCAGATAATTTTTGTTTCGTGCGATTACCCTAAAAGTTTTCCTGACACGGATTGTTCACGGGTGAATTTTTTTATCTCCCGATCCTGAGACACTTAGAAGTGTAAATGAGATCACATTAATGCAATAGTTATGTTCACTCCCAAAATTTATTTTAATTTTTAGGGCAAGTATTAAAGTAATACAGACTGTCAAAAGTTGTTTAAAGAATTCAATGCGATATTTAAACTTTCAATAAAACGCAACAGTTTAATAAAATATGATCCAATCCGCTTACAATAGAAAACGGACATTACTTTCGAATGCAAATGACATTTTTAACCTCTTAAAATTCAGATCTTTTACAGATCAATCGAAAACTTCTAGTCAGTTTTTTGAGAAGAAAATTGCGGTAGATAGGGTGGGTTCGGGCACGGGCACTTTTAACTTGTTGAATGGTTCCACGTCAGCCTTTTCAAATCGCTAGTTCGAGAAATGTATTAATAAATCAAGAGAAAGAAAGCCATGGTTTACTTCAACTGATCTCCTCAAGACTTTTAAATTCTGGAAGCTCAAATTGTTGATTTTCATTTCAGACTCACAAGAAATCTGCGAACTGCCCCACATTTTATCCGACGGACCGACATGTGAGGATCTGGGTCAGACGTCTTCCCGATGGTACTACGACCCCAAGACGCAACTCTGCAAGGAATTCGGTTATTCGCATTGTTCTGGAACGGCCAACAACTTCCTTTCCAAGTCATCCTGTGAACTGTTTTGCGGGGCGAAAACACTCAGTCAAGAGCGTAAGGGCGATTTTTTAAGACCATACTCTATCTTGGTATTTCCTTACTATCTTGCCAGCTAACCTCATTCATACTGGAAACTCAAGAGCACATTTGTTTAAATGTTTTAAATTTTGACATGTCGCAATGTTTGGTGTGATATGCGGGTGTAAATTGATTCCACGGTATGAAAAACTAGTATAGTTCATTGTCGTAAGGGCAGTTCTAGGTTATCCTCTTGATTAATGGTGGACACATTTCTTAGAGTCGTTTTGTTTTCGGAGATATGTCAACTTATAATAACAATCCCTCTTTATACTACTCATAAAACATATAAGTGAACCTACACCAAAATATGAGCAGTCTAGTCTCACTCTTAGTTCAAGTATTTGCGTGAAGATTTGCCAAATGAGTAAATGAATTACTTCTGAAATGGCGATTAATTAAACAAGCAAATAATTATATCACCTATCTTCTAGCACTGAAAATTCCTCCCTATCCCTCCATTCGGCAATTTATGGAATAATCAGCACGAAGCATCCAGCGAACTGCGTTTTCAAAGTTGCGTCTCAGATGTAGCCTGCCTTCACGGAATTTTCGAGTCACAGTAAAAAATGAGCAAATTATGCCTTTGGTGTGATTCACTGTTTCGAAAAACAAGGCCAGCAGAGCAAATAAGCAAGCGAACCAATTAGGCCATGTGTGTCCCATTGACGCAGTCGCCAATGTTGTCCGCCCTATATGCATTACAACTGAGGACACTAATAATTAGGAAAATTTTGAACGACCAAGAAGAGTTTAACTCTGCCTTCTGGCATTTTAGCAAAGCAAAACAGTGTTCATTTGCAGCGAATTAGAAGGCAGCAAGTCCATTTATTAGTTCTACATCCCAAACAAACCATCGAGGTTCGAATTTACTAGCGATTCAAAGTCCTTTTCAGAAATAATTTCGAAACTTTCATCTGGGGTTATCGGCCTGGTGTTTCAACTTGGAATATGGGTACCTCGAACGCAAGCATGCTTTACAGTTTCAGCAAATGTAATTAGTAATTTATCAAGGCACTTCAGAGCACCAATCATTTCATAACCGTACTTTGATAAAGTAAATGGGGGACATTAGCCTACTAGGAAAGAATTGCAATGTTAAAATTCAAGTCCTGTAGAGTTAAAAACAAGACGTTACACTTGATTAAACGCCTGTGCTTCTCCCGGCTTCGCGATAAACCATCTTCTTTCTGGCAGTGGTAAGCGTCTAAATTTTAATTGGTTTGATAAGTCGTTACAGCCTTTTTTTAATCCTAGAATTAACATTCTCGTTTTCTTAACCAGTCATCTGTGAGCTGCCTCCAGAAGCAGGGGACTGTCCACTTCAGCAACCTCACAAAATGTGGTACTACGATAGTGGAAACGGAGACTGCCTTGCCTTTACTTACACCGGCTGTGGCGGCAACGAGAATCGATTTCCTTCGAAGGCAGCCTGTCGTGAGACCTGCAAGCCACAAGCTCAAGAACCTGAAGTGAAGTCTACCCCTGTCGAACCCGAAGATGAAGAGCTCCTTGTGCCTGAGGAAGGGATCAGTGTCGAGCCCTCGTCTGAGGAGAAAGGAGAGCACCAGGGGTCAGCTACTCCACGAAAACCTCTAACTGTGTTTCCACTGTTGATTTATGATGTCACCAACTTCAGTCCACAGTCGGTTGGTATGTTTCCAGTTTTCCGTTGTTTCAAAAGCAAATAGATTGGGCTGATAAACCTTTTTTAGCTTTTTAACTATCCTTAAAGCATTCACTCACAAAAATGGTTCAAATCCTTTAAACATCTATCCGGTCAAACTGCTGATATGAACTTAAGGTGAGGATGCAAGGGAAGTGCGTGTTTGTGCTAAGAGGTTATATAGAAACTGACTTTTATGTTGATTTCCAAAACAAGGCAGCATAATCATCCATTGGATAAGTTATTATCTGTGTAAATATATTCCTAGTCTTACTGTGTGGCTTTGGTTACACTTGGGGTTTCTGAAAATCAAAAAGTTGTGTTTTAAGTTCACGAATTGATTGTCTTCTTTACTTGGAACATTGAGTAACCAGGCTTCGTTAAAGTCTACCCCTCGTAAGCCATTCTTTCGTTGTTTTATTACCTACACTTCTCGAGTCCTTTCGGGGGTTTGGAGTGAAGTCGCTACCTGAAATCTACTGCACTTTTTGATTCCCGTAAAAAAATACTTTTCTCATCCTGGCCACCGAGTTTACCAATTCAAAATCATAAAAGCGTATTAAATAAATTGATTGCATACGTTTTAGACAAATTGTGTCAAGAAAAACAAAATGTACTTCGAGATTGTGGAAATGACAATTTTTTTGCAGCTAGGGTAGATTTAAGATCTTGCAACCGAAGAAAATGTCACCTTCATGCTCGCATCAGAACGTTGACTTTGTTAACTTTGAGGCAAAATAAAACAAAAATATTGGATTTTTCGGCTACAAAAAATTATTTCCAGTGTGCCTAACTTCTAGATATTGAGCCATGTAGGAAGCGACCTGAGCCAGGCCAATGTGTTCCAATTGAGTGCGAGAACAGAACTGATTGTCAGACGAAGCGTCTTGTTCGGTGGTTCTTCAATCCTCGCACGAGCAACTGCGAGAATTTCCAGTACAGCGGATGTGGTGGCAGCGCGAATACCTTCGACTCCGCCCAGTCCTGTTCCATTGCTTGCAAACAAAGAATTATGAGGCCCGAGCGTAAGTCATTTGCCTTTGACTGCATTTAAGTAGATGAGGACCACAGTACTTTATTGCCGTCTTCTGCTTTGTGAGATATTTGATTGTTACGTTTTACCTGCAAGCAGAAAACACGCACACAGATAACCGGTACCCCAGTTACTGCAAGTTTATGCTAAATTGTGCCCCTCCAGATATCCTTATGATATTTCACAAAACCAGCACATCTGTTAGGCTTCGGAGGTCATTTGAAATTTACCGAATGGAAATTTTCTTTACAGCTGGATGACTGCTTATTATGACGATGACCTGGATGAAATGATCCATGTCCTTTCCATACAACCCTCACATGGATGCATTTAGTTATTAAAAACAGTTTCTTCGTCAGCGATGTGAAAAGATGCTAAAAATACCTCTCTTATTTTTTGTGTGATGCTACCTTGGTACCATCCGTCTAGTTAGGGCAAATTGAAAATTAATTTTAACAGATTTTAATGTCAACTTTCGTGTACACAGGAGACAAACGCTGTGACAACAACCCCAAACAAGATGGATGCTACAGCCTTCCACTGCCGCAACACAAGGAAGAGGTACTTCCCGAGCCTGAGGTTCTTTTCTACTTCAGCGTTGCCAGTGGCACCTGCAGAGCCTTCCACTTGAAACTTGACAAGGAGCAGTGCGGACGAGAGGCCTACTTTACCGATGGCCAGGAATGTCTCAAGGCATGCGCCAAATCCTCTCCAACCGAAAAGGACTTGCCGCGTAGGTCCATTGGCTGTCGTTAGAATATGCGAGTGGACTAAATTCTAATCTGGAGCTCAAGAGGCGATGCCATGAGAAAATTAAGATATATTTGTTTGGCTGTGGTTTTTGTTTTGCTTTTGAATTCCAATGAGGACAGTCAGCCTGTCGGATATGCAAGCACAGTGGCTTAAGTGGACATTATTACGTTACCTTGAAGCTTGATAACAGCCTCAATAGATAGGCCGAATTCATAAGGCGCCACTAGAAGGTCGGGGCAGATTATTATGCCTACACTGAGTTTTTCACTCGAAGCCTGAGTTTACTGTGATTATGGAGTCTGAGAATAAAATTCTTCATTTACAAACGCGTTAATGACTTGAGAATTGGCTTCGAACCACCCATTTTTAAAGCATTTGTGGCGGGCAGGAAGTGAACACAGCTAGGAATCGTGTTCGTCCAAGGATCGATGCTTAGCGAAGCTATGTAAACGCACTTGTTATCCTGTACAAATACACACCACTACTGCATTACGAAATAAGTCGGGCTACGCGCCATCTGATCCCTTCTCCTTCTTTGGACAGACCTTGTCGACGCAGATCGTCAGCCTTGGTGTGGTTCCCAAAATCGCACTGGGGCTGTTACACATCGTTTCGAGGAAAACTGAGTCGATTGATATTCACGAAAGTTATTGATTTTCGTAATTTAAATCTTGGTGAGCTATAATATCAACTTTTAGATTTTTAGGTTAGTTTTCATCAAGAAAACTATGAAAAAAACTAAGGCGATAAGATGACAACCGCCTGACGCATATATTTGTACCAACATAAGTTCTATTTGAGGTCACTGATTGTAACATCTTTTTTTAAAAACAATATAATTTGCTAGTTGAGGACCCAAAGTTTAGTTTTGTACAAACCAGTCATGCTGATGGTGATGCTAATTTAATGACCTCCTCTTGATCTTCCGTTTTTTCCTTGTATCTAAATGGATGTGTGTCACTTCGTATTAAGTTGAACCCTCATCAATGGCTAGTTTTTACCATAGCCATGCTAAACTTAAACTGTGATATCTATTAAATAAGAATAAGATCAGACCAGTTTTACTATTTTTGGTCTTTGCTTTTTCTATTTAAACTCCTTAATCCGAGTACTAACGGATTGCAAGTATTTCTCCCAGAGAATGCTTAATTTTTTTACAATTCTTCCCTCTCAAATGAAGTTTTGTTTTACTTATCCCAGCACAAGTCTGCAAAGCTTTTAATTAAAAAAATCTGTGTAATCAAAGAACAAAATGGAGATCTAGGAAGAAGCTTGATTTTAACCACAATCCAAAGATAACAGGATAATTCTTTAATCGCTGTGTCTCTGAGGCTGTTTTCGCAAATGTTCAAATACACTTTTGGGAAGGTTTTCTACTCCGTGCAGTTATTTGGCATGCTCTATTTATAAAAAGATTAACAGTCGCAAAATATTACTGTCAAAATAAAGGATAAACGATAATAGTGGAATGCCCATTTGACTTCATAGCTACCAAATAGTGAGCGTGTTTTAAATCCATTGAAACTGCTATCAAATAGTTCCTTGTACAATAATTGTGCGCCCGATATCTTATTGTAGGTTCCAAGTAACTTGTGCCCTAGTGTCTCCCATAATTGTCGCTTTTTGACTCTCGCTTCATTCAATCACAAAGCACAACAAACCTCAGCTGAGTAAGAAAGTTTGATTGAGATTTGGGTGGAAGTCTGAGAAGTGATAAATGAGTGATACGGTTTGGCTTTTACGCCACCCGAAACCTGAAATAGTTTTTAAAAAAAAAATATCATTAAACATGCGTTTCCCTACCAAAATTCCTTGAGATTGTTGTCTTTTCATCTTTGTTTCAATTTGGTTTGTCTTAGTCATCTAGTCACGACAAACCTGTGGTTTTTGGACGCGGACTTGACCAAACCAAACCTGCGGCAGTTATGACACTGACGCGATTTTATAGTTCTTGGAGGTTGTGGGGGTAAATGATGGCCACAACCCTGGTGATGTACTTTTTCCAGCTACGAAAGCGTTTTGGTCTTTCAAGGTGATTCAAAAACACAACTATATATCCTGGCATTCTGCAATTGCTCGAAGTTAGGAGATAGCAGGATAATGTTGAACTGCGCTAACTTTGGTTTTCTTGGTTGGTTCTTGTGGCGAAAAATTTTAACTTTAGAAATTAGGCACCCACTTTTTTTGTCATTAAATCGCGCCATTTACTATGTTTAAACTATTTATGCTGGTTTTAACTGGTATAACTCCAAATGAAGACTCGTTCGTAGCCCTAAATATTTACGGATGTGTGTAACTATCGCCAGGTTGTTAGTTCGCGTAATCAAAGTTACTGAGGCAGGTATTGTTGAAGCGAATTTTTAACAAATGTTTTATTAGCACAAACTCAGAACTTAGATTGTCCAAATTAACTTGAGTTTCACCGCCATTACCAGACCGATGCTTTGCCCGCAAGCTCAATTCTGGAAAGATAAAGTGCCCCATTGAGCGACACAACATCTCCCGTTGGTCATACCTCCCTGACCTTCAGCAGTGTGTTCTCTTCTCGGAGTGCCACAGTCGCGATGGACCCGCCTCATCTGCGTGGGGAAACAACTTCGACACCAAAGAACTCTGCGAAACCACCTGCATGCCCAAAGGGCTGAAAGGTAATCCATTAGAGGCTTGTGGTTTAAGCAGCCGTGTCCATCTACAAGTACGAAAATAGAATGCTTTCGATTCGCTACCCTCCCTAGGCAGCACTGCAATTAAGACAAATTTTGTTAGCTTTGTGTAGCACAAAAAGATGAATATTTAAAAGACCTAGTTATGAATTCTCCTTTGCAGCATCATGAAAAAGCGTGTTACCCAAAATGTGGTCTGTTTTTGACAACAACCTAAAGTATCATTAATACAAGAAGCCAGGCCTGTAGTAAACACCTTTTATTGCCAATAATCCCCACTCCATAAAACTACCAAAACGTAGTAAGCTACGTGCGATGACCAGTCAACAAAATTATGTAGGTTTTTTCTACATTAAAACAAAATAAGTCTTGATTTGCGCAGTTTGCTCTATATAAAATTTATGGAGTATGGTTTCAGGAAAAGCAGCGATTTTCATTAGTTTTGAGTCAGGTGGAACATCGTATCATTTCTTTAAATAGTAATTCCCTATCATATTGTGTCTTTCAATAAACAATATTATCTGAAATTGAAAACTGTTTTTGGTTCCCCTGCAAATTCTGGCACCTCTCTGAAATGGTATTGATTTTTTTGCATTTCTCCCCAGACGTCTGTCGTTTGCCAAAAGACGCAGGCCCATGCTCAGGGAGCCACGCACGGTACTACTACGACCCGGTGAAGGGCAAATGTAGCCTCTTCATGTACAGTGGTTGTCTGGGCAACGGGAATCGCTTCAACACAAAGGCTGAATGTGAGGATGCCTGTGGGGCACTGAGTCAAGTTTACGAGACAGGCGATTCCGTTACCACGACAAAGGTCGAGGTACTAGACCAGGTAGAGAATGTTACACCTGTTCCTGCAGAGGTCTTTGAAGAAATGCGACGCATCAAGATTATGTACTCGGAAAGATATCGTGAGTTGTTTCCCCTATTTCACTAGGTATTAAATTGTGGCATCCATCTATCCCCTAAAAGGCAAAAGTACTTACTCATCTTCGTCGAATCTGAGTTATTTTGAGTGTTTGTTCAGCTGGCAGGATCGGAATTTACTCACACAAGGGCTACCAGTTTACAATTGATTAGCGTAAGGTCCATCTAAAACGGGTTCTAATGCATACAACAATGAGCTAAAACTAATCCTAGATAGTATGGAATTATTGCTTTCTGCAAAATTATTTGATTTCTCTATACTAATAATAAAATACCAGTTAAATTTTAAAAAGCCTCGCACTTTCGTTTATTTTCCTATTTTAACTGGCTGTTGCTAAGGTCCAGGTTAAGTAACGTAATTTGGATATCTTGATTAGCGTGGGATTTCTGCCTACAACATCACACCTATGGAACCTGCCCACGACCCAGGCGTCTTCACGATGGAAGTGCTGATCACAGTGTTCATTTGACGCGTTACTTTTTCAATCGGAAGAGCAAAAAATGTGAGCCCTACTTCTACACTGGCTGTGGAGCAAGAGGGAACCACTTCGAAACGAAGATAGAATGTGACCGCGTGTGTACTCGCAGGCTTCGTCGATCAGGTATGTCAAATTGCCGATCCTGTCTGATTAACTCATTGCTAAAAAACCGATTCGCTTAAACCTTGTGGGATCCGCCAGTTCCCTTTTCATCTTTTATGGTAATATCGTGCCTCACACCCATAATGCACAACACATAGATTGACGTTCGCCCTTGATAGCAGGCTATAACTACTAATGAAGCCTGCTACTCACAGAGAAATATCCACGCTCAGAATCTACGAAGTGAGCCCTTGGTTGTTTAATCTACGCAAAAAGTTTTGAAAAAATGTTCAAGCTCAGTTTTTGAGTTACTTTTTTTAAGATCATACTCGGTTGAGTGTATCTACGCAAATTTCTTTGTTGCCGGACCGTGTCTCCCAAATTCTCCATTCGTGTTTCGACACCTAGGGAATAGCATGGCAAAATAAAACATGAATCATCCATATGCCCGATTTGTTATATCACAGCACCGTTTTAAGACCCTCCGTGACTAAGCGCTAACATATTTCTCCTCTCTGTCACATGAAACCCAATACTTACGTCAGGTTATGTGACACCCAACAATTGTAAATTTTGCTCCTCCATTACTAGGACTATAGATCATAGATTATTTTTTTTGAATTTTGATTTACTCACTTTTCAGAGCCTCCTGAATCCTCACAGGCAGGCTATTAATCTTAAGAGAAGTATTCTCTTCAAATTCCCATTGCATATCTTTCAAAAAAAAACCTTTTTTATCAGCGAAAAATTTAATCTGATGGATAAGAATCAGAGTTTCCGACCGTGGGCTCTTAAGAAGAACAACATCTAAAAAGAGGCATTTTACAGAAAAGAACTTGATGCATCTTAGAGTACAAATTCTTAGAGACCTCGCTAAGGGTTATCTAATTCTGATTTGTCCAGTTGCTCCTGTCTGTGACGCAAGTAAGGTGGAGGAATGTCCGGGAAGCGAGATGAAGGTTTGGATTTACGAGCAGGAGATGGGGGCCTGTCGCCAAATTGAAGCCTGTTCCAGCACCCAGGCCTCTTCCGCCTCCGCCTCCTCATATAGATTTCCGTTTGGAATAGCAAGCAGTCTGTTCAGTCTTTGGCCAAGCCACGCCACCACGCAAATCCAGCCTGGCACTTTTGCGTCGAGTTCAGCTTGTTACAACCAATGCCTGCCGCGAACACCCAGTGGAACCGACGTCACAAGTAGGTCTGATCGACTTCACTGGTTAACTGGACTTGGTTTGTTTCCATTAAGGTACCAATTTATGCTCAAAATAAAAGGACTTTACTAAGCCTAGGCAATGTAACCTAAGTGAATGCTGCACCTTGTTGGTTACTTTGATCAAACATCTGCAATAAATTGCATTATTTTCTATACTCCCCCTGTTCATTACAATGGCAAACGGTTAAACCCACTTGAACCCTCCTACGGAAAAAATGTTTTGGCTAAGCTGCTAAGAACGAATACATTCCTCGCTGTACTTAAACGACTTTTCAACGGTAGGTAACGTTTGGGTTTCTAAGTCGAAGGTGGAAAAAAATTTTCAAACACTTCTAGTTTCTTTCTGGTTCGTAGCTTAGAATTCTTCTTTCGCCAGAAGTAAAGTTGCCGGGAAGCTTTTACAGTATAGATGTTCTAGCCTTTCCGTTCACACCCTTCTGCACGACTTTTCTGTGTATTATTTCGACAGCTGAGGAGCACACAATTTACCACATACGTCAGTGTGACTTGCACATCAGACTAATTAATCCGAGATATGTGCCCAATCTTGCTCTTTCACAAAGATCACTTGTGCCAAATTCCTTAAAATTCTCCATTCTTGGATGCACACTTTCTTGTTAAAAATACTTTACAAACCATGCCTGACAATTTCGGCGAATATTGGCTCGAAAAGGCTACTGTTATATTGTGTAAACAAAACTTGGGAAAAAAACTAGTCGAAAAAAGCTACACAGCACTGATCTTACAGGTAGTGTGCAATCAGCGGCATTTGAGGCACAAAATGAATGCAGATATTATTTGACTCATCTTGGTACGTCGTTTATTCACGTTTTGTTTTATGTGGCATTTCGGTACAAATTAACCAGAATGGAAAAAGGCTAGTGACAGTCCGAAGAAACATATTTCTAGCAGATATTCATTCGAATCTTAGAAATACTGTCAGCAGTTGGTATGGATTTCACCTAATTGATAACTGGCCAACTTTTTTGTTCATAATAAATATGAGGAGGGCTGTTTTCAGGTTGGCTGCCAGTATTAGCATGTGCATATATCACCTCAAAGAGTTCTTTCTCCATCCAACTGAAGTGTTTTCTTCCATTGCTTTTAGACATCTGCCACATGAACCCCATCACTTCCGTTTCAAACGAGTGTCGGATGATGGGCGAGAGGTGGTACTTTGACGTGAAAGATGGGTACTGCCGCAGTTACATATCATGCCCAGTGTATGGGAACAACTTTGCGGACGAAGAAACCTGTAACGCAGCTTGTCGGCCAAAACACATTTCTGGTATGCTCTAGTTTCTCACTGCTGACATCGAAGCTTCAAATGGCAGTGTCTACTACGGTATTATCTCGCCACTTGGTGATTCCAAAGTTCGCAGACTGTGTGGGGGAGGGAGACCAGCCGATACGATTACCACTGTGAAATGATTTTATTCAGAATTCGTGATTTCGATTGTGCTATCTAAATGCCAACTACTTTCGTGGAGTGAAATGTGTCCCACTGTTCTCATCAAGACAATTGTAAATAGTTATTACGAAAATTTTGAGCCATTTAAATTTCCCACTTACTATTGCCTTTTCTGCTACCAACTTTAGGGTTTAGTTTTGCCTCGACTTCCAGAATAAGGCAGAAGTAAATTTCTGCTTTCATCATACTTTTTTTCCTGCCCACTATTTCGTTGCATGAATAGAACAAGAAATTTTTGTTAGCTGGCTTGACGCCAATTCGAACAAACTTGTTAAACTCAGAAACAATGATCGCAGTACAGTTCTTGAATGGAAGAAATATAGTTTTGGGCGATTTTTGAGAGCTAAAAATAATATACAGGGTGTCCCCGTATGTTTGACATAATTTGTGATGTCAGTATGAGATTGAATATTTGGTTGACAGAAATAACCTTTGTTGCTTGCCTAATAGAATGCTCTTCGCGATTCCATTTTGACAAGGCCTTGAAATGCATTCTGCTACAAATTTACATGGGGCTTATTCGAATTAAGTTTAAAGCCAAATTCTTAGACGATATTAAACGAATTTGTGCGGAGCACAAAATAAACAAATCCGATCCAAATCGACGCGTTTGCCTTGGTTAGCGTGCAAGCCACCCAAACAGTATTCACCCTTCAAGTGGCTTTCTAAACCGTCTGTGACGATTGCTGACCACCTGCCACCCCGTCAAGCCCGGGCTGTCCTCCCTCTTTGTTACCAAGGTGGTCTCATGGCGATCGGCCTGAAGTCCGGATAGTGGGTCATCTTTCAAGTTGGCATTCCCAAAACAGGATTGTACATGCTTGATCTCTTGTGTATTTATGTTTGCCTCGTGTGCTGTCCGAGTGTGTCCAGTTGTATTTACTGCGTGGTTGCCTCACAAAATTCCTCGTCCTCTTCTAGCCGAATGCTTCCAAGCCTAATTTGCAAATCAAAACCTAACATGTGAAGATAAGTAACTAAGTCCTTTTACGAATAGAAAATTTGCTTAAATCAGACAATAGTGAAACAGTAAAGTATGTTTTTCTGTTCAACACGACCAATTACGTGAAGACACGACGAGGGCGTGATGCGTTAACGTCCAAATGTGATGTTTCTTCTGAATCCCTACAAATTTGGCCCAATCTTCTAGTAGTTTGCGCAGTTGATGGTTGTATGTGGCCTTGCTGTTCACCTAGTGTTATTTTAGAGGGCTTTAAGTAACCGTCAATTTTTTCAATTAATTCCAACCCCTTCAGAGGTTTGTCGACTACCACTGGACTACGGCGGCTGTTCAAAGTTTCTCCCTCGTTGGTACTACAACACCGAAAAACGCAGATGCGAGCAGTTTTCTTATGGCGGATGTTTCGGCAATTCAAATCGTTTCTTAACTAAGCGTGAATGTGACAACGCCTGCACGCACAACGACGTTTGCGGACTACCAAAGCCGGTAGGTTTTCTCATTTCTCTCCTTAGCTAATTTGCTTTGACATAAGACTAGGAGACGTTTCAGTTCTTGGAATCTTTTACGTTTCTACTCATATTATTCTCGTCTTATGTCAGAAAGGTTAAAATATACTGCCTTAGTTCGGCTTATGGGAAGAGTTGTGACTCAACTCTTTGTGTAAAGATGACTTTAATGATGAAATGTTTGGGACTGCTGAAGCCTAAGTCGTGTTTGGGTGAAAAGCGTGACGCATGCCAATTTATGTTAATCCAATCTCCCTCTCTGATTCCACACCTTTTATAACTATGGCTTTTACCACTAGGCCATATATTTTGATTGTGTAAGACATAAATTTGAGCAGATATCTGACAGTGTTGGCCATCATTGTGTTTGCAAGAAATTTTCACCCTTTTCTCGTCTACCCGTGGATCGCTGCGCCCGATTTTGGCGTCGATTTTGGAGTCACCATGGCCTTTCAGCATTATCTGCTTAAGCCTATCAATTTAAGTACACTTTCCGTCATATAGGCCTTTGTGGTTATTTGGCTTAACGTCACTATGCGTAAAAGTGCATTTGCATAACATTAATAAGTGCCTTTTAGAAAGAGGCAGAGGAAAACGAGCCTTCCGAACTACGCTACTACTTCAACCAGAATACAGGAGAATGCGAGAAGTTCTTTTTTGGTGGGAAGATACCGCATGGGAACAATTTCGCCAACGAAGCAACCTGCCACAGCGTTTGCATCTCCTCGCCCAGCCTACTGCCTGTTTCTGTAAAAATAAACAAAATGGCAACCTCCATGGAACGCTTAGCTTCCAAGTTCGGTAACGTGGCTAAGCAACCAATCATGTCGAGTGGTAAGCTGGATTCACATACCGATGGCGCCAACTCAGTGTGGTTACAGTGGCTTAGCTGTTAGTGCGCCTGCAATCACATGCCCCGGACCAAAGTTGCACGATTCAAAGGAATAAATTAAGTTGTCAATGATTTCTTACAAAATTTTTAAATCGTTGTTTTCTATGGTGTGTGGTAGCAGACCCTATATCCCACTACGGAAACTATTTTCCCGTGCTAGCCATCATTAAGCGAAATAATTTCATTCCTAGGACTGAATATCAGTGCCTTTTTAAGTTAGAATACCCGATTTCCGTTTTTTCACAATCAGCATACTAGGACCGATCTCGCTTTTCCCTGTGTAGATGAATATGTGGGTTCCTATTCATTAACATATCGACTGCTATTTTAATATTTTCGCTAACCAGGTGCAGACTGAATGGCCTTTAGACAGCCTTGACAAGCATTTGCTTCATTGTTTGTACTGTTACAGGTCACAAGGCCAGCTGTCTGTCTTCACCACAGCTGCTAAATATTCTCAAAAACGAAACCATACATAACTGTCATCCTGGAGGAACAGTGACAGAACTGGCCTATGCCTACGACAGCGGATCCAATACCTGCTTCCCAACCATGATCTACGTTTGTCTAGACTACCCGAACGAGCCATACCGCATTAAAATGCTGGGTCGGCCGCTCATTTTTGAGAGTCAGGCTCACTGTGAAAACGAATGTCATCGCTCTGAAAGATGAGCCGCACTGCAGCAGCCACCACTCTGCCGACCACAGTCAATTATAGCTTTTGTCTACTGCATTGTTATTACAACCCTGACTACAGCTCGTTGATCCCACTTCCCTCTTGACATGCGCATATGACCTGTCACTAATATTGTACCCACTTTAAAGTACATGCAGAATTTTCCGAAAACTTGGCCATTCTTACAGCGAAACTCGATTTCATGGATGTGAGAAATTCTCAGTTAGGGCTTTTGTTCATTTTCCCCACAAATCTCCTGAGCTCAATTCGACATCACCAGTCGGGAGATAGATATGTTAGGCCGGGAGGGTGTTCTGCGTAAAAATATTTTAATGGTTACAAAAATTTTGTTCTCTTTGTTGCCGGGACTTGGACGTCAAAGCCCCCTTTTTCGTTGTCATTTCATAAATGACCGTAAGATGGTCGCATGCGAATTTACAAATGGGTGTCACGAAGGTTTTCGACATCCTGTCCCTTTGCAGGGTCGACGTGACAGCTAAGGGAGCGTCACGTGGCCGTCATCACGCCTTTAGCAACCACTTTTGTGTCTGATTGGCTCGGTTCTGTCACCGTGTCTGCCTGCCCCAATCTGAATGCTCAGAGGCTTGCTAATGGCCGTCTAGAAGGCGAAGTAGTCGTTCAACTCGAGTCTTCGATACCCTCAGATCGCTAAACTTAATCTGATGTGAATACTCGTCACTTTAGGTCCATGTGTCTTGTAAGAGACAATAATAGACCCAGAAACGCGGATTCTTCTTATTTCACCTTTCAGTACTTGCACTTTCACTCACATATGAGGATAAAACCCGTAGTGTGGCCTCGAATACTACCTGTTAACCTCTTTCCTTATCAAATGTCTTTGGGCACGCCGACTGAACCAGCTTCACCCACCCTTTCACGAGGCTCACTCAAGTTGTAGAAAAGGGTTTCTCAAACTGTGCTTGGATCAAAAATGTATTTTGTCAATGAATATTATGCCATTCAATCAAGGGAATTGTGTGCTTCAGCAAGAGACAGACGTCTCGTTGTACATGCCTCCCACCACTTTGTTCCAAAGGACTTGAATGGCGTAGTCATGATTTTAAAGAATTTCTGTGCTTAAATAACCAAACTAAGGCACTAGATTGTTAAGACAACCAGATAGCCACACACATATTTTCTCATGCTCGTAATTGAACTTGGAGTGGGTAGCGTAAATACACACGATGTCGAGGTGTTCCTAAGCCCGATCGCGGCCAGTTTGTCTGCCCGCCACCACCTCGGGTTCGCACAGTTCCCGTGCACCGTGTGACCGGCACCGTGTTTATTCGACTGAAAAAAGCTCAGGACACCACAAGCCCAGGTTATCATGGCATGATCAAACGCGTTCGTGCGATCCGTCTAAATGTCTTGTTAATTAACCGTGACGTGTCGTGATGCGTCATGAAGCCTGCAAATGAGAGCAAGCAGATACGGCCTGATCGATTCCTACAAATCACTAGTGCCTAAAAACGCATTTGTGTCGGTATCGTATCAGAACCGTTCAGTTTCTGATTGCCTATCTGCTTGTTGCTTTGATGCTTGTGAATAATCTGATAATTTACCCTGGACTTGACACCTGTGGAGCCCGTATTAAACCTATTCACTTTAACGCTGATAGCGCGCCAGTGGTAAATTCACCATTTCTAGAGAAAGCATCATTACAGCTGTAGAAAACTTATCGGGAGGGCACGTTTTCCACGAAATATCCATCACTCATTAACGTCGCGCGACCCTAAGTTGAACATACCGTTGCCCACAACCCTTTATCCATCCTACCTATTTCCATTTCGAAGACGACGGCGTCGGGCCAGTTCAGAACTTGCAAAATGCCGCAGTCTTGTCAAATTGTTTCATACGTTTGCACAATTAAATGAGGAAGCAAATAACATAACCCCAAAGCCGTGATTTTCCCAAACTTTCACCTAACATGAGGTTGTGCTGACTTCTCCTGCCAGTCATTTTTACCAGTAACATCGAATTCCCTCTTTTATAAAGGTGTTCTCGCCTTAATTTTTGTGGTTCACCTATGTGTGTACCCTGCAGTATGCATGGAGTTTTTTTTCTATTTCTTGCCTTGTCACCTTTTTTCACATGTGATGTTAGTTAAACTTGTCTGACTATGGGAGTTCACGGGTTCTTGACCCCCTCTATTTCGTCAAGATGGCTGTCGTCTCATGTCCTCGTCGCCGTATGACAAGATCATGGATGAGAGAATGTCGGCGACGGTCTTGTTGTGAATTGTGTTTATAAACACTCCTTAATCCAATCACTCCGGCCTCCGACACAGGATACTCATTTTCGCAGCATGTCGCCAGCCGCGCGGATCCTCAACTCCCCCCTCATTGGCACGGATATTATCTTGAATTTTCCTCACACCTAGGTCTTGATGGTAGCGCATGCATGACTCACACATCCGAGCCACAAATACACACGCGCAAACACCACAACGATACCAACGTGGTTGAACTCTAAAGTAAACGGTTGTGTCCGCATCCAATCTGGTCTTTTTCTTTATCGTGGGCATCAGGGAAGCGTAATCGGGCCAGGGTAAATTCTGTGGCCTCGGCTTGATTCAAGACCACATGCTGGAGCCCCTAACAGTCTCGATGAGAAAGTTTCTCCAATTTTCAGAAGTCTCAAGGGTGACAACAGGTTGGGTTCTAGTAGGCCCCTTTGCATGTTCCCACCATTGATCAATTTCACCTGGGCTTTTGAGACAATTCAAAGACCACAGGATAAATTATTGGCGAAAAAATATTGTTGCTAAGACACTCAGGAAGCACATTGCAACACGATAGAAATAGAGAGGAGGGCAAAGTAGATTACCAGCAAATGCGAAATTAAATCCCAGATAAAATTTGCGTTTTTTCTTGCAATATAAATAGAGAAAGGAGGGAAGCATGGCGGAGGACAAAAACGCTGATAACTGGCAAACGTCTGACCATGCATAAATGAAAGGGTCGTTGTGCAAATTGGGTGCTATCTTTTTTTGCTGTTCTGTATTTTGCAAAAAGGGTTAGAAAAGGAGGCAGTTGAAGGGCGTAACGAAGCGACGACAAAGACTCCAATATAAGCGCCTTCTTTGTCGACTTATTCGGGTGCCTGGTTTATCTGAAGTGGAAGGAGGTTAGGCACGTCAAATGGGTTGTTGAAAGCGCAGACTACCCAAGTGGTAGTTTCACCAATAAGGATGCAGTTGTGACGTGATTTGTCCCCCTAATATGGAGCTGGCTTCGACGTTCTATTCACTTAGAGGTACCTTTGTTTAATTCCTTGTGAACTTCAGGCCGAATCATTTGGTTCTTCCACTCCCTCTTCTGGTCAGTATCCACGTTATTTTAACCCAGCAAACTATAGTCCCATTATACGTACCACAAGTATGTAGTTAAATGAAAAGCGCCCTCCAATCACTCATGGGAACCAAAAAAACCCGGAACTGGATCTTAAGGGACCACACGCCTGATCGCTTGCGTAGAAATGCCCCGTCGTAGAGCAGTGACATTGCAAGACACCTGCCAAGTGAACTTGACCTACCCTGTTTGATTTGCGCAGGCCGGTGGTGACCTTGCTGAGAAGTTCTTCTGCAGCCACGACCTCAGGCGAGCGGTAGTTTTTAGTGCGCATTTCAGAGCCCTGCTCCATCATGATGATCTGCTCTGGCTTGGGTTTGGCCTTGGAGAAGGCCTTGCTCAACTCCGGGGTGCACTCGACGCGCTTCAGCTGAGCCTGCTTCCTGAAGGGGTTTTCCGGCATGACGTGCTTCAAGTCCGGCAGTTTGTAGTCTGCGGGGTGGACGATCAGCTCTGTGGTCGCCTCAGTGCTGCCCTGGCTGTTGTGACCCCTCACTTTGACCTCGTGTGCCCCCAAGCTGAAGTCACATTTGTTGATCTCCAGCACACTGATGCCTCCGTCACACAGCACCTTGATGATCGAATCCTTGTTGAAACAGAGAAAGGGGAATTGTAGAATTCGAGGGGTCAATAAATGATTCTAAGAGACTTCTCAACGATTCCCCCAACACCAAACCACACTGTGTTCAAATTTGTAAACCAGCCCCTAGCCACTGATTTATACGTCCACAAGAAGAATTACCTGTTGGATGCTGTTGCCGTCTAGACACCATTCGATCTCAGGAGTGGGGCAGCCACTCATTCTGACCAGAAAGCGCGCCGGCGCACCAAGAATGGCTTCCGTGGGCTTGGGCTCCACGTCGATGGAAGGCGCTGTCGGTGTTTGATCCTCGTCCGCATACCGCGATGAATCGTCGTGTCTACAATTGGCATAAGAGGGCAAATGGGACCAGGCCCGACAATAGCTTGTCATCGAAAGTAACTTCAATGAAGCCTGGGATCCACTTCTAGTGACTAATTAGGGGCAGTCCCTTCATTTGGGGATATTCTTCAGGTAAACTAGCCGAATATTGAAACAGCCAATGAAGTTACGTCAAATTACGGCTTAGAAAATTGCGTGCGACAGATTATGTCCTCATAATATGCAGCAGTACTCATTTTACCGAGGCTTCAGTCTCGTCTACGGGGTTCTATATCAAGTATGGTAATTATGAAGGCATAAGTTTAAGCCTTAATAGGCCTTAAAAAACAAGCAACCACTTCAACAGTTTCAAAAAGATGGCGTCTAATCGAACCCGTCGTGTCCGTGTTCGATGGCCTGAATCAGTTTGAAGCCCTCTGATCCCTCGAGAAGGTTGCTTTGCGTGATGATGGCAGCGCTTGGCGAGCACTGCAGCTCGAGGTGGTCGCTGTCAATCCTACCGGCGGCGTTCGTGATCTGACACGAGTAGGTGCCGCTGTCTTCGGGGATTGTGTGGCGGATTATCAGGCTCGCGATTCCCCTCTCAAATTCAACGTGGAAACGGGTGCCATTGGTTAGTGGCTCACCATCTTTGCACCTTAGTGATAGAACAAAATAGAATAGCTACTTATGATTTTTGCGTAGCTGTTTATTTTCCACAGCTGTACCTACCATTGAACAACGAGATTGGGGTCAGTGGAGGGTTCATACTGCAGACGAAAGCTCACGGACTCATCTTCAACACAGCTGCCCACGGGTTTTGGCTGAACTAAGATTCGTGGAGCTTCTGCAGGTCCGTCTTCGTGGAAGTTGTCGGGCCTGGGCGCATTCAACATCGCCTCGAGGTCTTGCACGGCTTGCAGGCCTGTAACAGCAGGAAACTCGCACGATGTAAACACACGATGCCGTATTTATTGGGGCCGCTGACCACGGTAACTTTCAATGCCAAGTCTATCAGTGTTGCATAGTGTATAGTGCAAAGAAACTCATTTCTATATACAAATTTTGGTCTATGCTGTGGATTATACAACCCGTTTATCACACTTACACGTAGTTTATCCTCATTCATTAATCTGACTTTCAGTAGCAGCTGATACCATGAGGCCTCCTTTCTCATTCAAAGCTCTTCTACTCTGCAAATGCATGCACTACTAACTATAAATACGTACACACTTTAACCATTTCGAGGGTGAACGGGACAAACTTGATGTTCACAGCATTCGTTAAGGCAACCTTACACTGTAATAGCTCCAAATTCCTTATGGTTGAAACAGCTGAGATGAAGGTGTAGTAATGGAAGTTAGCATCTTCAAATTGTATAGGAAAAAAAATTACGAAGTATTTCGTTGTGCGCCCATAAAGAAAAATGTTATCGAGACACACAACAGTTTCGAAGTTCTTTCCTTATTTACGGTGGTTGTTTAAAGTCATTCAGCTACCTGAGAAAGTTTGGCTGATAAGTCGTGACTGCCCGCCATGTTTAATCATTCCGCAGTGTCCTCTGGTGGTCCACTTGACCCCGTTAACCTGATTTCCTCCCTCCCCTGTCCATGAACCGTTTCACCATGTACCCGCGTAGCTAAGATCCCCACCAGACATACTGACGCTCCTACAGCGCAGACACCAGCTGCTTATGCTGCCAACTTGTAAAAATGCGTGAATAGCCACACGAACACCCAAATTTGGCTGCCCGATCAACGCCTGAGCCTCCATCGACTCCGTTCGCCTCTGTGAGACCCATATTGTGCGGTTTGATGAAGACAGGGCAACTTCTAGCAACTTACTCGCACAAACTCAAAGACACCCAATCCCCCAGTTTACTTTGCTTTGCAATGAATTTGCAGAAGTGTGGACGAATACGTGTTCTTTCCCGATCAAATTGACTTAACTAGGTTAACATAGCTTGGTGATATTTATTGCGAATCGGAAGCGGTTCGAGCCCACGCCGCATCGCTTCCAAGTTTGAGTGTACCCTTCTCAATTGCTTGTCACTTGTGCTTTGAAGCCTCAAGAGATCTAACTTCTAACCCTATGTACCAATGAATCATCGTATCTCCATGCGTATTTCAAATCTGGAAATCGCCAACTAAGGCCGTCTTTCGCGTGTGTGTGAAAGCATTAATGATTGAACATTCTTGATTGTAGTAAGAGTGATTTACGTATAATGTAGCCTAGCCAGGAGTTTGTGTTCAAAAGAAGTTGTGCTAGAACAAGATCCATTGAATTCCCGCAGGCCCTACCTTTGGGTTCCTTGAGTTGAGTCTCAGTGATGAGGTTCTTGGTGGTCTCGACGACAAGTTCGGCGGGCTCGCTCTCCGCCCTGCCGAACTCCGTGGTGACGCTGCACACGTAGCGGCCCGTGTCCGAGGGTAACACGTACTTGAAGCTGAGACTGGCCGTGCCCATCTCCAGCTTGCCGTTAATGCGAGAGCCTACAACGGTGATTCTTCAGTAATTGTCCCTTACACACACACGCACGCACACACACATTAAGAGGGGTAAAACCCCGTGGGTTGCCTACCGAAGTGCACCGGCTCGCCATTCTGGAGCCAGACAAAGTTGACCTTGACGCCGTTGCCCGTCTCAACGGGGACCTCAAAGTAAGCGTCGAGGGTTTCCACTGTGGTCAGTTGTGGCGGCGCGATTGGTCCGGTGAAGCTTGGAGGGATGGGGTCGGGAGCGTGTTCGACGAACCTGGAAGCAACAACGATCTGCAAGTCTCAGCCACAATAAGGCGACTTATTTAATTGTCAGTGAATGGGTCCTAGCTGCGTTAATTTTAGTCCTGTCATCTGAAACTGACCATCGCTTTCATACAATTTTATTGACTTCTATAACTAAATTAGACACTCATGAGCTTATCATAACGCTAAATGCCTACCTCTAGCCCACAGAAGTACAAGTGATTTTAATGCACATGGGCTGATTTTATGTTTGACTTAGCATTGCATTAATTATTATGGACGTTTTATTAATTGGTACACCTCCAGCTACTTGCCACGTGACTTTTGATTACTCTGGGGTCTTGAGTTAACTAGACCGGTATCGATGAGCAGTCCGGGAATCCAAACACCCTGAAAGTTAACTTGTTCTTTGAATCATGACTTGCGACGTTCAAATTCTGGTCCTAGTTCTTCCTCTGGGAGAAACATGCCCACGGAAACCCATCGTGTAAGCAACGAATGGGCCATGCCAGCACATCCAACCACGCATTGACAGATAAACGTTACTCCCAATGTGCGTAGCCCTGTTTACTGTTTGTCTGGACACAACCCATTCAACCGTACCACTTCGTTTGTCGTCGGCGCAGTCGACCTGAGCATAAACAAACAGCCTGACGCCACGGCGCGCAGCATCTTTCAGCGGGTGTGGAGGAGGTGGGGGCCTTGCACGCCCCCACCACCGCCACCACCTGCCTACGGTCATGTGAACAAAACGGGTACATTTTAGCTAACTTCTGGCCCACAGATAACTCCCCTCATCTCCTAGTTATTGGAAAAAGAGGCGCGGTGCTAAATGTGGCACGTGCGGGCCATGTGTCCATCTAGAAGTTAAAAATAAGAAATCTTTTCACTCATAATTGTCATTTATTTGACCCAACAAGTCAAGACTTAGGCAAGCCGATTAGACAAGTTCCGTGTTTAGAAGGACCCTGACTAGACTAGGAATTAATGTAAGGTAGCTGAAAACTATATGGAGCGGTTTGAAGCTGAAACCTTTAGCACATATATCAATTAATAACGTTAGTTCTACGCTTTGCATGTTGTGAATCGTGTTTATAAACACTCCTTAATCCAATCACTCCGGCCTCCGACACAGAATACTCATTTTCGCAGCACGTCGCCAGCCGCGCGGATCCTCAACTCCCCCCTCATTGGCACGGATATTATCTTGAATTTTCCTCACACCTAGGTCTCGATGTTAGCGCATGTATGACTCACACGCCCGAGGTACAAATACACACGCGCAAACGGCGCACACGACACAACACCAACGTGGTTGAACTCTGAAGTAAACGGTTGTGTCCACGCCCTCTCCGGTCTTCTTCCTCATCGCAGGTGGTAGGGAAGCGTAATCGGGCCAGGGTTAATTCAGTGCCCCCGGCGTGGTTCAAGACCATATGCTGGGCCCACAACAATTGGTGACCCCGACGTGATGAAAGTTTCTTCCAATTCCACATCATGCACATCCCCCTAGAGCAAACCGATCAGCGATTTTTAGTTGTTGCAAAATTTATTGCCTCGAACAAAAATTAATTGCCGCAATTGTCTGGTGTTTCGTGGCCCTCCAAAAATGCTCATTCATTTACGAATCTTGTGGTTATTCACACACATGTACCTCACTGGGTTGCATGGTAATGTGTTGTAGCTGAAAGGATCCACGTTAAGCTAAATCTGCACATGAGTATGGGGAGATGGGAATAGACGCTGTCCAATTAGCCAACAGGGTTCTGTCGATGACCCCCCACCCCCTTCATCAGCCAGCAGTCGTCTGTCAGATGATATCTCCGCAATATGACAGAAAAAGGCACTATCCAGTTATATGCGGGCAACGGAAACGGAAAGTGTGAAACATCTCCCCGGGTGATACATAAATGAATTACCCACTTTCAAATAACTTGCCTAATACGAAGTAGCCACAGCCTGTACCAACTAGACTTGAAGCCATTTCAGCTTTCTAATATGTGCTAAATAGTCCTCTGGGATGTATTTACCATTGCCACCCCTTTCTAGTTGTCTAAGGGTTGCTTCTTAAAATTGTACCCCATGCAACTTTCACATTCCTTTTATGCTAAAGGCAGTCCCTATTTGACTGTACAGGCGACCTCAAAAGTTTCTGTGTTTGGCGCCAGAGTGGTAGAAATGCACACCTTTCTTAAACACGTCTACTTGCGTTAGACTTTTAGACACTAGCTCTAGCCCAAGTGGGTGTCGTTACGAGTTTTGTGCATTGAGATCAAACTCTCTTCCATGCTTCGTGTGGTGGGTTTCACCTTAGTGTGAACGCAGAATGGGTAAAAAGATGACTCAACAGAACGCTTACCCGCTGAACTCAGCTCCGGGATCGTCCAGCTGCTTCAGGTGGTTGATGGAGCTCTCTGTGAGGTTGGAGTTGGTCACGATTCGCACTCCAGCCTCGCACCTTTGCGTAAAGACAAGAAGTAGATGTTGTGAACAGACAAGGTGAGAATTTAGGTCAACCACATGACAGCACTGAAACCTGTGACCTCGTTCCAATCTTTCTGTTTTGTGTCGGCGCCAATGCCAAAATGGTAATGTCTGGTCACCGTGACCCCATGCACTGTTTTATAAACTTAAAATGACTCCTTCACCACCTTCTTTACCTCTGGATCTGCGAAACTACTCATTCCTAAATCCCTAGTGTTTCAGGGGGTGCGGCATCGCAGTAATGGGGATTATCGCTTCAGCAGCTCCTTCCTTTTCACGAAGTTATCAATCTTTCATTTCGGCTTTCAGTCTTACCACCCAAAACAACTTCACTACACTCAATTTCACACCTATGTACATCTACGTGCTCCCCTGATTTTACATGCATAAAACTGTCCAATACATGAGAAGTTCCCAACACTTCTCTTTTTTGAGGTCACATCGGTTACAAATATCACTTTATTGTGGCTGATGTATTTCCTGCACCGGGGTACATTTGATTGTCAGCTTAGTGGATGGATTAAAGTGAGACCAGAGTCACTCAAGAGAGAATGCCTCAACTCCAGACCCAATATTGGGGGCGCAGATCATTCTAGTACGCAGAACACCTTCAACTCACTTATTTCCTACCCACAATATCATTTTCTTTTGCCTTGGTGGCACTTACTGAGGGAGCTAATGCTTCACCAAACTGCAACATGGAAATCGTCCATGGCCGACCCTTCACGCTTTATGCGTGCATTTAAAAAAATGCGACGGCGCTCTGCTAACTCCAGCCTGCTCACCCAACCGTGACCCCTCTATCAAGCAGCTCCCCCCTTCATGAGCGCAATGGTACCTCCTCCCGTGTGTGTGTGTGTGTTTTACCGCGGACGCACAAGTGCGTGACGAGACGCAGTCCAGACAACGCGCAATTAGCCAATTAAAAAACAGGAATAGCGCTTCACCATAGCCAATAAAACCAGCTCTGATGCGATCATTTCTCACGTCGTATTCCTTAGTTTGTAGAACTGGAGGCTTTGAGGGCCTACAGACGGCGCGTTCGGTTGAGACATTGGTGGTTTACACAAGACAGATTTGTGTTCCAGATTAATTTGCAAACGAATTATCAGTGAATAAATAGGCAAAAAGGTGTTGTACTGTTTTAAGCTAAAATGTACTCTCTAAAACATCACCATTATGAAGATTTCAAAGATTGACCTGCTACACCACACCTCGACACATTTTGTACTTTAGTTAACCATTCCCAATCACATATTGTAGTCTTTAGGAGCCATGTTTTTGCTTTTGTGGAATCGACAACTAAAGTAACGGTGTTCAATGCAAATAAATTTTTCTAGTGTTGAAGCTGAGGGATTCTTACGGCTAAAACTGCCACTAAACTTGTTTTAAAACCAAAATGTAAGTACAACTAATTTCTGTCGGTTTTTAATAGATTAAAAGACGACCCTTTTGGAGTAATAAAAAAGTTTCTCTTTGCTTATATGCTTAGGATAGGGGTGATTCAGTAGAAAACCGTGATTGATTGACCTCCATCAGTTGGTCCAATGCCGTCCTCGCCTGACCAGGTCGCATTCCGTTTTCTGATTGGACAGTGTTGCCATGTCGTCATGCCGTTCAAATAACCGTATAAATTTGGGCTTTAGACATATTTGATCCCGCCATGGTTTCTTTTACCATCTGTTTCTTCTTTATTAGACCCAATACTGGCCTCCTGAGACTCCATTTGGCACCTTCATGATACATTCGAGACCCATTCCCATGGTAACTATTGAGCTATTCCTCCAAAGAGGAATTAAGCATTACAAACTCGCCTAAATTATCATGGAAGCAGATCTGTTTACTGTTTGGGTGACGTGGTGTTCTGTTAACTACCAGTACACTCAAGTAAGGTGTACCAGCTTATTGACATTCTTTCACTAATTTAACTATCAGTGATGCTGTTTTCAAATACACGCAATGTGATAACACGCTGCCAAATTCTTGTGGTTGACAGCCTCGGACCATCTCTCTCCTGGTCGCGCCGTGTTTACGTAAATTTAAGTCCCACATGTTGTTTTAACGCAGTAATAGAGGGTTAATAATTCAATCACGAGTTTGTGAGTGATGTTAAGTGAAATAACTCACAGGAGAGAAATGGGTGAGCTCTCAACTCGACCAGCCTTGTTTGAAATAACGCACGTATAGGATCCACTGTCCTCTGGATAACAATAGGCAATATCGAGGACTATCACACCACGGTCGAACATGCTGCTGAGACGGCTGCCTACAGTGAAGAAGTACAAACGTGAGTTTGAAGCAGACCATTCCATCTAGAGCTTCAGAATGACGCTCTCCTTTTTCATTCCAACCTCACAAGAACGTCGCTAATATGAAGACCGAGAGAGCAGCCAAATAGGTGACATGTAGGACTAAAACTTATTCCACAATCATTCGAGAGAATTCGCTTATTTGGTTTAGGGTGTGGGTGAGGTTCAATTCAGACATAAATAAAGTTAGGTTCCACTAGGTTGCTTGCGAACGGCTGTTAGAATTCATTTTGCAGAACAGCGACACGTGTGTGGGGAAAAAGTGCCTAAGTTAGTGCAACATGGAGTTTTTCCACGAACGGCGTGTAATTGTTGTTTACAACTTGGGGCACAAAGTAGTTCTTTTGGCAGAATGTAAGATTTGCCCTGAAATCGTGTTCTACCAGACAGGAATGTGTGTGTGTGTGTGCGCCATGCCAAAGCAAACGCCGCCCTCACAACGAGACACGCGAAAAGGTTAGCGGCGGAGACACATGGCAGCACCCTGTGTCTCAAGATCGATTGCAGCCCGCGCGCTGCCTAAGAAATTATGACTTTATACACAAGGCAGACCAAAGGACAGCCACGAAAAACGCCACGAGGGAGGCAAAACTGGTGATTCAGCAGTCCGGACGGCAGAACAACTTCGACTACCTAGCACCAATAGAACGGTTTTTGTTCCATCGGAAACGTTACTAACACCTGTTCAACGCCGATGGCAGATTCGTTTACTTGACTTCTGAAGACGCTTCCAGCACTGGCTTCTTTGCTGGCATTTAAAGGCATTTTAGCCCATCGGACAGCCATGAACACAACGACTGATTCCTTGTCCTCTATCCAAAGAACACAAAGGTAGTATGGTATGCAAATAGCGTTTGACGTTGTTAGCCACAATTCTTTTTACGAATCAAAGGTGATAAATAAGGATTTTTGAAATCATAGATCTAGTTTTAAAGTTAGACTAGTGGTTACGCATGCACGTTGTGCTCTGAATTTGGCTAATTTGGTAATTTGTGGGTGTTAAGTGACGATTTTAAAACTAACATATTTTGGGGCAGTTAGAAATGATAACCGGTGTGACCGAGATTGCAATAAGTAGAAAGTAATTCAAACACTCAATCTATAGATCAAATGTGTTTTGTTATGATTAAATTCTCCAAAAAAGGCTTGGAATTCCGTTGTAAACTCCACCTGAAGTTTCGGAAAACGCCCAAGTTCTGTGCCAACTGTTAAGCTAAACTACCGTCTTCTACTAAAACGACATTCGCGCCAAAAACGAATAACATTGACCAGTAAATTTAGACAAAACCCACGAATTTAAGCGTTAATTTTCTGGTCCCAGAGTTAGAAAAACTCGCCACACTAGGGGGACAACAACAGAAGAGGCCAGCACGAAACGCGTTGATGGAAAAGTGGCCTAATTGCGGAATTTGCTGTTTTAACCTGGGAAATTGTGGGCTGCGAATTTTTGATTGCAAGCCAAATTCCAACTAAAATAAATCATTGCGTGAAATCGTGCTGTGGACAGCTGCGCATACTAAAACGGATTAAAAGACACGGTAGGTAGAATTGCATTGTAGCTACGCCAACAGCTGTTCCAAAAGCCTAAGGGACGCAGCTTAAATCCGTGTGCATTTCGCCACAAAGAAGCAAGTCAACCATCGTTTTTGTTGAAACATGCGGGGGATCATGTGAAAAAAGACCACATTTTAAAGAACCATGAAGAAAAGCACCAATTACATGCTGTCGTGGGCGGGCTTATTGGGTGAAGCAGTCCGTTTCTAACCAATGAGGATCGAATTTGCACAGAGTCGTCGATTCGTACGGCGTCAAAGCTGTCCACACTTTCGGACGTCAGTGCCACTAACTTAAGCATTCGGAAGTCGCGAGAAAGTCTCAGGAATGAATAGAAGTGGTTTCCCACAAATTCGTATAATACGTGGTTGACTAAATAAAAATTTTGGTTTTTTCGCAATTTGATTTGTCCTATTTAAATTTGCTTCTTCATTCCATTTGGCGAAACTAGCTTCGACTCCCAGGATCTAATTGGATCAGTGGTATTAACGCATACAAGAGCCGTGCGGTTGCGTTCAGAAGATATTACTGACCAATTTCTCACTACTGGAAGCCCCAAGAATCAGGAAGTGACAGATTTTGGCCAGGACAACACCGAAAAGGCATTAGTTGCTTTAACTAGGAGGCCGAAATACCCATTAGACTAGCGACAATCGCCTGTATTTAATAAACATCATTAGTCTGGAAAGTGAGCCTCAGACAAAGGTACTTTCTCCAGGGGTCGTGAAAGTAGCCTAATTAACTTGAATTAACTGACGCTAGGACAACTGCTTCGGAAGGAAAACATCAGCGCAGCAATCGGCGGTTTGAGAGGTCTATTAAAGACCGGCAAATCCGACGCACTTACAAAATCTGAGTACTCGAGGGACTTTAAACGATAATTTTGTCCCTGATCCCAGTAGTAAACGGCTTACCAATGACCACAGGCTTGCCATCCTTGAGCCATTCAATTTGAAGGGTAGAGTCCTTGGTAGGCGACACTTCGCCAATAAAGCGAACAGGTTGGCCCTCAGCCACGGAGGTGTTGTTGCAGGAGATGGGCTGGGTGAAACAGGGAGGCTCCACGTCGACGGCATCGCCCTCTGGTCCCCGGCCAAGACTCGACATCGTTTCATAGGCCGTGTTCTGCATCGCCACCGTCTCGTATTCCTGTTTCTCCTCAGGAATCACTCTAACAAACAATGTTACATCTTCTTCAAAGCAAGTTCAGTGAGTCGACCGGGGATCAGTCAAAGTAAATCAATAATTTAACGATTTCTTGATCAGAAAAGATTTCAGAGTATTTAAAAGATATTGGGAAATGAGGCCAAATTGTACTTAAAATGAGGAAACCTATTGTTAAGAGCATAAATTCGGTTGAAATGGGCAGAAGTTAGTAAAATTAACACCTGGAAACTACAATAGGCGACAAAATTCTAACTATTGTAGTCAAAATCATATAAAGGATGTGATGTTTGCCCTAAACTGATATTATGACATTGCAGACACCTAGCTCTGATCTGTCCGTCCAATTCGTTTCACTTTAGTTAATTTTAACCGCGAAGACTTCCCGAAATTGACTCAATGAGGTCACAATCAACTTTCTTTTTTCTTCTGGTTTTTAAAAGACTACGTATAACTTCCTAAATTGTCTTTTTTTAGCAGTCTCGCCTACCATTCACACATGCCTGATTTGAAATTTAGCCAGAATCACCCTGGATGTCATTCGAATCCCACGTAGACTCACTTTACTTCGGCAGGGTTGGCCTGAACGTGGCCGCAGCGGTTCCGAACCACGACGGAGTACATGCCCGAGTCCTCGGGGTGGGTGTACTCGATGTCTAGACAGGCGTAGCCTCGATCGAAAGAGTCGTGCATCCTGGAGCCTGTAGGAAACAAAGCGTATGCGGTGACCAATTAACAGTTAAAAACGACGCGATCGCAGAACAAAAGTTTAAATTTGGCTCAACACTTCGATGCAGCAGCATAAATGACGAGGTAAAAATTTTGTCGTTCTGGACACAAACATTGATAGATATACTTTTACTCACAACCTTTCTGAATGCCACATTCCTTCGATAGAATGTGCACTGAACTATTTCTACAGTTTAAATACTAAATCTAACCAGCTATTTAAGAAATGTAGACAGCAAATCCTCTTACATTAGACCTAGTTCACAGGTAATATACAATCAAATCATGGCGAGGAAGCTAGCAATTCCTGGCAAAGTGAGTACCGTGGAAACACTTATTTAGGCCTTGATGCACTCACTGTTTTAAGTAACTGAGGCCCCTTGTGAATAGCCAGAAGTAATATAATCGAACATATACTTTATTTAAATTGAGTGAAGCTAATTTGTACCTTAAAGCATCGTTATTGACGAGGTCAAACGAGAACCTGGTTTTTACGCTAAGCTACCACATGATGACTGGCTTCCACTAAGGCAAGGACTGACGGTTCCTTCACGGACCAAGTTTTCTTAAATACAGACAATTGCGTGGCCAAGTCCTTGTTGATGTCACTATCTTTCTCCACATTATTGCACCTTCTGGGAAAATTCACAGTCAAATAAGGTGTCCGTAAGTTGGTGAGGTTTTTTTAAAACCACAAATTTCAATGAACCACTTTGGTACCACGAACTGGTGGTGGTGGCAATAATAGTCACAATTACCACATCAATGGTCTTTTAATATCCATATACAGGTTACCATAAACCATGTAGGGATTTCTAGAATAAGGTAATATGCAAAAAACGATCCCATTTTCCACAAACAGATTAAACTAATTGTTGCCTGGGGGAATACACGGCCCAGGCATCGAGTAAAAAACAGCACAATAAAGATACGTTACGCCGCGTTCAACGCAAATTTGCACACATTAATTTGCAGTTTCCTTCTTTCTCCATGGCTGGGGAAGAATTTGCGAAGTTAAATTTTCAGTTTTATAAACCGCTCACTTACGAAAATAATGATTACTGATCAATGAAATTGCCGATAACTGCGGAGAAGCGATGCTTGATGCTGCTCTTAACTTCAAAGGATTACATGAAACACTGCGCATAATACTGATTTTCCGGGTTTTTGTATATTTCATCAGTTTTAGAGGCTTCAGATTGGCACCCACGACTACTCTCAAGGGAGAAATATGCTTGTTACTAAATGAATCTGTCATGGATTATGACTTTATCATTAATTCTTGGTAACTTCATGGCATTTTTCGTTGTAAATCGTTTTGGTTAATGCCCAAACAATTTGTTGACGAAATCAATCGACTCCCACGCCAATATCTGGGACCGTCTGCTCGTGTCGATGATCGATTTTCAAGCGGCTCACGAATGTTATTTGTCGGTCATCAGATCATTTCTCACGCACCCTATTTGTGCATTTTTCTCATGCCTGCAACCGCAACGCTCTTGGCCACCACAGCTGGTAGATTATCAGGACTTTGAAGTACTCCGAATGTGGACAGGAGACTATTTTCAAATATGCAAACTACTCCTATTTATTTGTAGGGAATTAAACAACTCCGAAAGGAAAATTGCCGACAGAATTGCTGGAATTTTGTGAAGGATCTGCTAACTACGATACAGTGGCTCATGCTTGCTGAGGGAAAGTTGTATCAAAAATTGTATTGGGTCAAATTCCCAAATGTGACCAGCTTTTCAATGAAATTGTGTATACTTGCGAATGGGCAAAATTATGGGAATCATTTATCCTAGTTGTACTGACCGGTGAGTTGTCTGAGAGGACTTTAAAACTTATTTAACACATACAACAAATAGTCAAAAGTAGATGATTACCAGGGGTGGAAGTTTTGACTACATTTCAGTAACTTCACGAATAAACCACCCCGGAAGCCCTATTGTTCTTAATTAATCATGATGGAAAGTTGAAAGGCATATTTTTTGTCAACCGCGCCATACTTTGGCTGGAAAGGAAAATAAACAACGGAAGCAGGGACTGCGGGACAAATTTGTACCCTAAATCTCCTCTAAAAATCGCATAATATTTGTTTAAACTTAAAATAAACAAATGTCCAACGCGATGGTGCAATGCTTGATGTCAAATCGAGGGGGCATATATAAGAGAATTTCATTGGTTCCCGATTTTACATAACTTTGATTTTAATTTCTTAACGATGGACCCCATAGCACTCGAACGTACCGGGCAAAATTGGATTTCCATCCTTGAGCCAAGTGATTTGGACATCAGAATCGGAGGCGACACGGACATCGAAATGAACCGGCTCTCCTTCCATTACAGTAACTCCTCCCTGTAATTCAGACAGCAAGCGAGGCGGGGCCTCTTCGCTCATGTTGCCGAATTGCGATGGTGCAGGCGCAGAGGTAACTGCCGTTGACATCTCGTACACGAAGCAATTAGGTTACGATTCACGGCGTTGTGCAGAGCGCCTGCCTTCATGGGCACTCCCGTTGGCGCGTGGGTGGTGCTGTGACCTTGGCACAGCCAGTAGCAGGGCGAGTGTGCACAGTCGTTCTTGATTGGTTGGAGGGCTAAACCTGGTGCGTTTATTCGTTCACTTTCGCCTACGAATACCATTAATGCTGTTCCCTGTTATCCAGCACGATGATCATCAACCCTCCCCGCTTCCCACATTCATCGATCCGTGGAGAAAAGGCCGGATTTTGTGTGGGCTGGTTCTGTGTATGTGGATCTAAAAGGGTAATGCCAGCGCGTAGCATGCAAACAAAGAGATGGGACGATAACCAAGTCAAAAAAGAAAAATTTCAAGTAGTCTGATATAACACGACGGCATTCGGGAAGTGAACTGAATCATGTGTTTTGGCGTTGACGCGGAATCTGATTTTCAAGATTTCTGATATAAAAATGCACTACGAGTTACTGCTGCCACTATTTTTAAATTGTTAACCTGTAAAATACGCCGATGGCTTAAGTAAATTGCTGAGGACAAGTTAAGACCAGATCATGGCACTATATAAACATTTTTTTGCTCCGTCAAAATTGACCTCTTGACTTTGCAAACCGTCCAAGTTTGAACACTCCACAAGAGTTATATTAATCCACTATGTGTTAGCACAAACTAGCGTGCCCATTTATGTATTACGGATTTAAAGGAATAATTATGTATGCCATCGGCGCTGTATTACTAACTGCTACCCGGTACGATTGACAAGGTAAATAATTACCCCAATTTCATCGATGCGTTGCGCCAACTAGATACCACGAGCTTGCAAACATTCTAATATGACAGCTTGTTTGCCAATTTCGGGAATCATGGCAGCCCAAGATACGCATGACATGCAGTCACAATTACACCATCTCACCCTAGAATTTGGGTAGTACTTTGAGAAAAATATTGCCAAAGTGGTAGAATGATGGGCATTAAATAGATAATGAAGACTCTCTGTCTCCATCCAAATCAAATTACGGAACAGTTAAGCTAGTCAAATTATTCGATCACGAACCAACACAACGCGAGTAAACTATCGAATTGCAAATAGGTAACTAGGATGCCCGCATTCCTCCATTTGAAGTTCATGCATTTCTCTTCCATTTCCTCTTCGTAAGTTGCATTTTCTGAGGACAAAAACCGGTTTACAATCGTTCTCTTGAAGGCGGACACGGGGATTGGTGTCCCTGCCCATGCCCCACTCACCCCTCCCGGTTCTAATCCGAGGACAATAGAGGCCCAATAGCGCCATGGCAACGAGTTGTAACTATCTCTTCGTGGCATCAAATTCATCGACATTTGGCGGTTTCCGGAGCTGCTCTGTTGAGCTGCAATAAATTTTTTACCCCTAAAACAGGGCGGGGGAAAGACCTGTTCTTATCGCGGTCCAAACATCTTTCAAACAATCCAAGGCGACTCCCCCGCAACTTAAATCCACTATGGCAGACGGATTCCTTCGGTTAAATAATTTTGATTAACTAATTCTGCAACCTAAATGAACCGTAGTTTAGGAAATGGTCGCCTCTAGGAAAAGAGGACAGAGCGAAAAGTTGCTTACCCCTCTATTACCGCCGTCTCGAGGCGTTAGAAATCACGATCAGTCACTGTTAATGAACCAGAATAACCAGCCAGCAGCTATTATCTAAATGGCGCACTACTTTAAAAAACAAACCGAGTCGATTGGTTTCGTAAAAAAAAAACATTTTAAGTGCAAATAGAACTTATTGATGGATTTTGTCCTTGTCTAATTCAGCCCCACCAAATGCCCAGCGACTAGTCATTTTCCAGAATACTGTGTGATCCCCCACTGAAATAGTTAACTGCTTTAATCATTCATTAGAGCACATAGTCCACCTGTCTTTGATACAACGACAAGAAATTACAAAACAATTATGAGCTATTGTACTTATTTCATAAATGTCCTAGTTCCCTATCATGCTCGCATAGCCCCATATTAGCGCTGTCACAAAGGTGTCCGTTTGATGTCCCCAATAAAAGAGTGCTGGTCTACATCTTTATGCATTTATTGGCAGGGACTTAGAGAGTAAAAATAATCACGGGACGCTGGCGGTCTTGGATTAACAAATCGGGGAATGCTTAGCACTTCTCCCACAAGAACAAAAAACCCTGCTAACCCGGGGTTCCAAGATTTTGCGGGTTCACACCTCAACATGAAGCAGTCTGCCCAGGAGGCCTTCTAGAAGTCTAATTTTACCTACGCCTCTTAAATTTCATAGGCGAAGCTACAGTAGGTGCAGTTTTAAATGTCTTCCAAAACCAATATTGCTTCTTAAAGTCCTTCGGGTTACTTCAGGCCCGACTTCGTGTAAGTCAACTTTGCACTAGCTTAAATCCTTGGCTTGGCTTCGCTGGTAGTGATAAAGTAAATTGTGTGATATTTCGAACCAGCCGTGCTGCTTAATAAGGCGATGGTGTAGCCAACTATGATGCCCCCAAGAAGAGGTGAATCAGCAGTCGGGGCAACTTTGGTTGAAAAATTAAGTATTTAGGGAAACCCAGTGCGCACATCAATTGCTGTTAGTTCATAATATTCCTGTGTCTTGATTGTGAGAAGCAGATCTCCAAAGAATAAATGGGTTTGTTTTGGCAGTCTTGCCTACTTCCAATACCTTGTATCAATGTATTGTCCGAGCAGAGTAGCATCAGTAATGAAAACTTGAGTAAGCTTTAATTAATCAGGGCAGAAGACGTTCTGTCGTCGGTATGAAATTTGCCACGCTGCATGGCATTACTGTGTTGAGAACGATAACACATCGTTAGAGGCGTCGAAGACATCCAAAGCAACGGTAGTTGTGGGACACCATGCGTGACATATTATGAAATTAAGAACTCAGAAACATGTGAACAAAGGTTTGTCACTTGAAAGACTACGATGAAATTGGTTTTCTTTTTGACATTTCAGCAGGCCCTGGTTCCTGCTGCTAAGCCGTTCTTTCATTTTAGTAATTCAATTTAATTGAACAAGCGAGGGCTTATTTCCGATTTTCAAGGACTCCGAACAAAGGAGTTGGCCAGTTGATAAAAAGGATAACAAAGTCCGTATTTTGTTTCAACCCAATCCTACGAAGATGCCACCGTAGAAGACCGTTTTATGGCGTAATGCTTCATTCTGTTAAAATTAATGATAACTTTCTTGCGGATTGTGGATTTGAGGGGATTCAAAGTTTGCCTTATAGATACAAAAATGCACCTAATGCATAAACTGTTATTAAAGCCTTTACTGCAGTCGTTTTCTTCAACTTCTTTGACCTACTTGTTTTCCTCCCGTAATCCTACCGAGTGCTTGCACTTAAAAGTACAGTCGCACAGTAAACGCGAAATTAACAGTCGCAGACTTGTGTAACCTTCAGTGGACTGTAAACATAGCTAAAATTTCTAACGCTCGATCCCTAAATGCTTCGGTAAATAAGACGACAGCTAAACGAAACTAGGGGTTATGAGTAGAAGTCTGACGGTAACTAAGTCTAATTAGTATTTGCATTGATTGGCACTTGAGGTGACGTTGAAGTGAATCAAGACATTCTGAGGCTAGAGCGAGGTCTGAAGAAACAGCTCATATCTACTCGATTGTTCACCACATCCTCACCTTCCACTGACGAGGCAAAAAGCCCACTTGGAAGAGTTTTCGTTCTTTGTGTTTAACAAGTGGTTAAAACAAGTGGTTCTGGTGAGGCAAGCAAGAAAAGGACGCAAAGTAAGAGTCGACCCCGTTTTCTGCTTGGTGGATATGCTGCCATGGTTTAGCCAAATTTCTGCTGTTTATTCCTACATCTAGTTTAGGTAGAGCCACATTTCAAAGTGACACAACCCCCAATAAACTGCAATCTCAATCCGAAATCCCATTTTATGACCGAAATCTGCGACACATGCGGTGCAGCAACGATCCCGTCTTCAAACACTTCTTCAGATCGTGCTTTCTAAGGGGAACATGGCTGACCTTGAAACGCACCATTACCTGGTCTACGGGGCATCGAAATTTGTAAGCCTCAATGCTTAACACTAGTCTGGAGCGATTCCGTGGACTGATAATTCAATGTTCTCCTGATGGTTCCGGGCTGTCGAAGAGCACGTTGCTGACTTATTAGGCTGGTTTTGGTGATTTTGGTGGATGTAAATAGAAACATGACTATCGAGTTAAGAAACGGAACATTTTTGTGGTTAATTCACCCTACACCAGTCAAGACTTGGTTTCATCGCCTGCATCACCCGACCAAGACACGACTAGTTAGCAAAACGCTCGCAAACAAAGCATTTCCACTCACTTATGAAAATTGTTACTACGGTAAATTGTGCTCCGATTTTCTTTGCAAGCCACATTTTGATTGGTGAAGCACCGAAGGTTGAAATGGATTTTATGACTCCCAAACTCACCTAACAATGATCCCTGATATTGCTGCAAAATTACCAGTACTCATATTTTGTTCCGATTCGTTATTAATTGTACTTTGCTGTTGATCCAACAATGACTGTACAGACGTTTAGAAACAGATATTTTGGTAAATTAGAGGATAATTTTCTCTTAACTTCAAATGTCACAAATGAGTTACATGCTGCTATTGGCTTGTGAATGGCTCATAGCAATCATGCCTTTAAGATGGACTGTAAATTTGCAAATATCGAAAATATCTTTGCGTAAACCTGGAGACAATGTACATAGGACCGCTTTGCTTTTAAGGACAATTTGGCAATTTTTTACTCTCACGGAAAGCGGCATCTTCTGAGTACCGACTTTGTGTACATCTAAGTTGTTTTGAAAAGAATGAACCATTAGTGACGGCGTCATAACTGTGAAATCTTAGCAATCTGATTAGAAGCCACAGACAAAGGTCTAGTTCATCGAACTGCATCATTGTTACGTGACGAGGCCAATTTCTCCTCATCACTTTAAGTCTTAATTTAAAAAAAATGCTGTTCAAATTGGCACTTTTGAGTCATTTGTGTGGCCTGGGAAGCATTTTTTTTAAAACAAACGACAGGCTTAATAGTTGGTCTGGGTCAATAAGCAATGTTGAGTGAAGGCTGGAATGAAAATCCATCAGCTGTTTCCCTTGGCACATGAGTTTTTTGGTAAGGCTTTCAGGTGCTTTGACTTGAAAAATTTATTTTGCTGCTCCCTAAACGCTTTAAATGGCTTTGAAGGTTTCTACCAAATAGAAAGACTATTGGAAACTAATGGCAATTAAATGATTCAAATCCGATGGCCTCACCACACAGTCCGGCATTGAAAGATTTGAAGGAACTGTCATAACCACACCTGTCTACATTATTGGTGTCTACGGTGCGAATACCAATCCAGAATGGACTAGAGGTTGATGGGATTGGTCTCCGTGATAATACTCTTCCGTGCCCGCTTGTACAAAATTTCAATCCCAAGAGTGCACCGGAAGATGGATTAGGTCGTACCCATATTTCGAACCCACGTGGCGCCTGTATCAGCTACTTCTTCAACTTCATTAATAATTTATACTAGGCAAGCTTTCTCTTGGGTAGCCAGTTTTGAAACCAAGAACTTTTCATTTTAAAACAAATTACACATGGAAATTTGCTGAAAGCACCCTATTTCGGTGTCAAGGCAGTTCTTTTAAATTTTGATTGACTTTGGGTTCTCGGGAAATTTAGATACACTTTTAGTGACCATCATCTTTTTCTCCCGAGCGATATTTTGGGGCACTTTGTGCTGGCACACTGTCGCACAAATTCCGATGATTCCAGATGTTTGGGATCACCTCCCCAATGATAGACTCACTCTATGAATGCGCACGCTGTACCCACACTAACGATTTTGGAGTGCCACTAGTTCTTAGAGTTTTGTTAAGTGGGTTGTCTTACTTCTTCTTCAATATTTGCTTGTTTGATTCAATTAGTGACAATTTTCCAACATTATTCCTTGTTTTACAGTTTTGAAAACTAAAATCTCGAAGTTATGTAGTCAGAGTCATTTTAGATTGATTTACTGTATACAAAAGAGGCGAGTGAATCAAACGCATAAGGAACAAAGAGCTGGTTCAGTCGATCAAAAAGAAGATCGTGGGCACCACAGGCCTATATACTTGCTCACTTTTGCTAGCGCATGTGTGAGTGAAATGCACATTTACCGACGGTATAGACAGTCATCTGGAAGTAAGGCTTCAGGACTGGAGGTCTACGACATTCTCAGTAAAGCCATACTGCGTGAACCGATTTTCCAGCCCACAAAATCGTCCTTCGTCGAGGAAACTTTGCAGGCTTAAGTCGTTTTGCTGTGGTATTGCGTAATCGGGCCCCCGGGACGGGAAGTAGGGCACCGGTGTTAGGCACTTGGGGGTGGAGTGACTCACGGGGACCGAATCGGTACTGCACAGTCGGAGGGTCGAGGCCATGTGGCTCATTGAAGGAAGGACTGCCGCATCGGGTGACGTCTCCTCAAAGGAGTCCGCTGCAGCTCCGCCTTCTCTTTCTCCTCCATCCAGAGTATAGTTGTAGTAGCACGCGGTGCCATCTTCCATAGCTGAACTCCTATTCCAGTCTCTGTAGGTAATCATCTGGTCAAAATCAGTCACCAGAGACATCGAAGGGAACGGCGATGGTCCATGGTGACTAGGTGGAATGGCTGTGTATTGTGAAGAGTCCTCAATTCCAGCGTATTCGACAACAAGAGTTTGCGCCTGAGTTTCAGAAGGGTTAATAAACTCCAATGGGGTTGTGCTCGATTCGGAATAGGAAGAGTACTCGTACGGGAGGCACTGTTGTTGGTCATTTGAATAACAACAGGAGGTGGAATTCGCTGGGACTCCGTCTAAGTAGGACTTTGATGGACCCTCAAAAGCATAGGGCTCATCTATGCACTTATCTTGGCTTCTAGAGCGACAGTGTAAGAAGAGGGAATCAGTATAGAACGACGGTTCGTAGGTAGGAGGCGGAGGTTGAGGCTGTGATGTGAATTTCTGGGGAGACCTCATGGAAGAATAGGGCTGGGGGTTCGCCTTGAGAGGAGCCAAACGGGTTGAGGGGTGAACTAGAGCTGACTGCTTGGTAGACGTTTGTGATGAGTTGAGCTGTTTTTGCTTTCGGCGTGGACGATACTTGTAGTCAGGGTAGTCTTCCATATGTCGAGCCCGGAGTTTGCTCGCCTCTTCCACGTAGGGCCTCTTAGCGTCCTCTGAGAGGGCCTTCCACATGGAACCAAGGCGTTTGCTGATCTCAGAGTTGTGCATTTTGGGATTTTCTATACCCATTTTCCGTCTCTGAGACCGAGACCAGACCATAAAGGCATTCATAGGTCTTTTGACGCGTTCTGCTTTTGACGTTGTTCCGCTGTCAGAGCTCTCGCGGCTGGAACCTTTAGACATCTTTGAGCTGCAATCTGGCGATTTGTGAACCTCTTTCCTCTTAGCTGACGATACGAACTGCTGCTTCAGTGGTGAACTCTACAAGGACGAAGGATTTACGCTGACTTTGGATATTTGAAAATGAATAAAACAATATGTTAATCTACTTTACTAGGTTTATTCAGAGATAGATATGTTCATTGAGAAAATCAAAATGTTATATTCTGCACGCGGTGTCATTGAAAGTTCGAAACCTCGCTAAAGCAATGATGCCAAGACTACTAAGTGAAGACGTCGAATCTTTACCCCCATGTTTTACAACACCAACCAATTTAGAATTTATGTGTAAGTACTTTCAGTATTTTAGTGCCTAAGGGGTGCATCTTGGTATAAATTGAGAGGCTTTAGATGATCAGAAAACATTTTGGACACGCGTAAGGCCTTTACCCCTCAAATGCGGATGAAATGAATCTTTAGGATAAAACTAGGGATCAATGAAAGCGTACACAGAAGTAATGATTTCGGTAGTAGGAATCATTAAGAGGATCAGGATCAGGCAATTCAGTAATGGCTAAGCTCGCTGCCTAAACGTTTTGTGGATTTTAGTATAGCATCACATTGCTGAAACCGCGAATCAATCCCGTGGCAAACGAGACTCCGATTTCTGAAAAGCATGAGGTAATTATGGTGATTATAACTTGTAAGATAATTTTGTGGGACAGAAATCGAATAAAGAAATGTGAAATTGGTTTTATAGCTGGAATTGAAGTTTAACAGGACAAAAATGCCGGGGCTAAAAGCCTTCTTTTGAAGAATCCAAGTACACTCGTGCATTGAATCCCGTTACAACTGCGGCTTTAAAGGTGTTCGCTTAGAATCTGCAAGGTTCCACTGAATCAGCACGTTCCTCTATGATGTGGCAAATATGTTGATCAATTTTGGAAGTCCTTTCAGTTAAACGGAAACCTATCTTAACCGTAATTCATGCCGGTTCAGTGTGAAGGTTAGGAAGAAACACAATGCCCACCTTGTGGTGGAGGGTCCCATTTAGCGGTAAAATCATTTCGATCCTTAATATCAGGAATTATACCAGATTCTTCGCTAGTTTGAAAATGGGGTGTCCTAGATATATCTGAGGTTCTCTAAAAAGTCGTTAATTTTTATTGGATGCAAGGTTACTTAGGTGAAGCGTATTAAAATGGGCATAAACGAGATAAAAGACAACCAGCGAAGGGGAAGTTCAGTTACCGTTTTGTTACCTGTACGGATGATAACCGCTGAATTAAAAGTTATGCTACCATCAAGAAAGTGATTCATTTGCCTGGTCTGGCCCACGAAATATCTAAGTTGAAGGGATCTTACAGGTGTATAACGATTTGGTCTGACGGCCTTTTCACTCAGGATCAGTAAAATACGATATGACAAGTGACGAAAATAGTATGATTGTCTTTTTTTGCAAATTAGTTTCACAAGTAAAGTACTGCAGTCCTTCAAATGACTGACTTGGTCAAAATTGATTGAGAATCAGAATTTGGTATTTTCAACCATCGAATTGTCGTTTTAACCAACGATGTGCAGGAAGCATCCAGAAGAAAATGTAGCTTTAATTGTAATATATAACTAAGCAACTAGACGAAATTCGCTGAATAAGTATTTAATTTTGTAAGCTCTCCTCTGAGTCACCTTGGATGAGAAGATTTAGCCCACCCCTAAGTTGCATTCTGTCTTTGAAGCTTCGGGAATACTTTGAACTATTTCTCAAGATGGCAAACGGCCAGATACTTTCTCGCACTGAAGCTTGTGTACACAGAGTCTTCTCAATGATCTTTAATTGTGACCGCGTAGAAACCATGGATAATAAACGAATTGTCGTAGATGAAGCGACAATGACTCCTGTTTACTAATCATCTACACAAAAGAACCGTGCATATTTATTCAATAATCATTTTCCTCCTCTAAATTCACACCTCCGAGATTTCGCTAACTGAAGGTGGTGCTCATAAAGCTTTTAACGGCAGACTGATGTTTACAGGTAATTTTATGTGTAGCTTGGATCGACAATGTTCACTCAGCGATCTGACTCAGCATGACGAAGCGTGACGTAATATTATTAACAATATCCTTTTTACATGATAACGAAATGACGAAAATCTGGGTAACTGACCCTTTAAATAGCTTTTGGCTTACACTATTGGTTTGAGGCTATAACTTATGGTGGCTATTTTGGAATCCTTTTTAGTAGCATTACGGATAAAAAAGGCTGACACTTGTATTATCTGTTTCGAAAAAACCGAGCATCATTTGTAGTAAATACAAAAGTAGAGCCAATCCACTGTATTCACAATAGTGCTTCTGGTGAATTCAGCCTAACGAAGCTTCGCATTCACGTAGCTGGTGACCTGTCAAATAAATATTTACATTTTGTCCGAAAATATAGTAATAAATTATTTTCAAAAGCGGAAAGCTGTCATAGTTGTTTTTTTATAGTGGATAATAGTTACCATTAAAAAACATCATGCTATTTTTGAATCTGATGGCTGCAAGAATTACTGGAAACGGGGACGGATAACTACGCTTCCACTAGGTCGTTGTGGGACGTTACATAAATTTACCAACCAACTAGTAATGTGACTGACTACCTCACTTTTTTCCCCGAAAATGTTTATTACTGAATGCAGTTCCTATATCTGCTGAAGGCGTGACGATGCAAATGCGAGGTGCTTGCATGAGAACCGCTAAACCTTCCGTTGATGAATCATTTTACTAATGAAGCCAGCAGCAGCGAAAGCGAGAAATAATGTAAATTTAGGCATGTCTTGCCACCAACCCAAAAAGCGCGTGTGCTTTCCAAAGTCGGTAAATCTTTCTTTTCCATGGAAATTTCGGGAATTTTTAAATGGCTTCTTAGTTCTCAAACCTTAATTTTCAAAGGTCGCCATGTCACACACGTCCTGTTATTTGCGGCTTCCGGTGATCGTTGACAGGTAGTAAGCCGTCTTTGTTTTAGCATCTCGGGGGCCCAAATAAGGCCACCGAAGATTAAAACTACGGTACTCTTAATCAGGAGCATTTCAGAAGCGACAAATCGATGAAAAGGATTGAAAAGGAGTCAAACGGAACGCGGTGCTTCTGCAACCACCTGAAGAATATGGTAGTGTTTTAAAGATAGTTGTAGTTTTTGCAACAGCAGGGGTGGCATCCTGCTTATGGTATTACTAGTGCGAATGTCCAACATAATTGGCGTTAATTGGTATGACCGCTTTTGGGTGCATTCGGGGCGGTTATATCGCACTGTAGAAAAACAACAATCTTTCAAATAAAGATGCATGTGCCTTATTTAAGGAACCAATTAAAGTAAAAAAGGCAATTGATACGTGAAAGTCAGGCATAAAACCCCTAGATGTTTCGATTTATACTTCCCAAGAATCATGGAGAATTTGCTACCAGCTACCAATAACTACCGACTAGGGTGAAAATCCCAATTCCGATAGGAGGTTTGGTGAGGCACGTAGTTTTCAGTAGATGATTTGCTCGAAAACGCCATTAAGCACTCGCAGCAAATCTTTATAATTAAATTACACAATCCCTTAATCCCAGCTTTTCTGGTTGCAGATATCTACCTCGAAGACAAAACAATTGTACAATGAGATGGTTTGCCGTCATAAAAGTCTAGGATAGGTCATGTTTCACCCAGAATTGTTGCTGATATGAAAATACTCTTTGGCCAAGATCCAATCCAAGAGCTTATTGCATAAGTCTAGACACGAAAAGGACTCTGATTTTAGCCTGTAAAAATTCTCCCTGAACTGGACAAACCAAAAGTGCTTCCAGCATTTCGGTTCTGGTTTTAAGTTAACATAATGATTATTTTCAATCAAGCATCCGTCCTCTTCCAGAATTAATTTAGGCAATAGTATTGTGTGATTTCGTAAGTTCGCGCAAACTAAATTTAAGATACTTTCGTGATAAATTGTACTTATTAATTAAAAGTGTACTCGTCAGCATTTCCGATACCCGCCTCCCAACGCTTGGCATGGTACGAAGTCTACCTTCGTAGGAACGGCATGGCTTCTACGCTAAGAATAAGATTTCCTTAATAAAATTACGCGTTTAGTACACAAATTGACTTGTCGAGAACAAAGGAGATAAAAATCTGAAGGCAAGTGCTGATGGAGGATTCCCCATTTAAATTCGCCAAATTTCGTAGTGTTTGTGGGGCGATTTGTGGTCTACTGATCTCATAGTGAAAGAGCCTGTCTTTTTGACTGACCATCGTGTATAGCTTTACGCATTGAGCCGGGTGATTTGCTCACAGTACCTCTCCACATTCATTTCTGGGGACATGTGAGAATCTCGCGAAGGAGTATTCCTTTGCAGTGCCCCATCACACACAGAATATCTTCCGCAATTCAGCCTCTACCATGGGTTATGTTTGAAAACCTTCATGCCACCAAGTTCTTTTTCTCATCCTCACTAATGAGGTAATCCAAAGTAGGTTCAGTCTTCTTATGGGAGATAAATGGTAGCGTAAACAAGCTTCGGTTTCTTTCGTTCTGTCAAAACGCGCGGAAAGCAGCTGCCGGGATTCGAAGCGAATCCGGGCTTCTGTAAATGACGAAACACTGCTGAATTTTCAACATTTAATTTCTTAGCAATCTCTTCAATGGCATTCATAACACTGCTAGACTTACCGTTTAGAAAAAAATTAGAATATTCAATGGTAACATGTTTCCTTTACTGGTTACGCTCTGACTATTGATCGGTCAGAAAATAGCCTCAAGGATGCCACAACTTAGGCATCCTGAAGGCCTCAAATATCTGAGGTTTCTACTTCATTGCAGCGTTCACATTCCCAACATTTTTACCTTGTTTGTCCCTTTAGGATGGAGGCGCACCAGTAAGTGTCAGGTTTCCTAAAAACCTTACAGGCAAGATATTTCTTGTAGTCATTATGCCTAATGGCTGAGAGGAGGATGATGCGAAATATTTTCCAGCCAACTAGATTGCTTGCAAAATATAGCACCATTTGGTGACTACAAGAGTCCCACACATACTGTTCACAATTTATTTTGTTTGTAAGAATTTCCTGTACACAAATTTAGCCAACTGCCCATTCACATTCTAAGTTGTGTAGGTCATAATTGGAAGAAAAGACTTCATGGGTCGGACCACTACGGAATCACATCTTCCTTTGACCTAATTAAAGTTAACAATGTATTCGAATTTAACGCAGATATACATCTCTAGCTATGTTGGAGCCTTCGCTGTGCTGGCATTTTCTCTTTTCACTTTGGCACAAGGCTGAAGCGCAAAACATTTCAGCCTGACATTCGGTGTGGTTAATTTTAGAAACGCCCCAACACTGTGTGAAAATTCCGAATTGTTATGTTAGATTAAAAAGAAACTTGATCCTGTTTATGTTCAGCTGAAATGACTAAACAAACTACAGGTTAGAGGAGATTTGATTTCAAGATATCCAGTTGACCATGCTCGACTAGGTGTTTTAGCATGCAAGAGGCAGTTTATGCACTTGCTTGCGTAGTAATACTGGAATTCAAGATGAGAATGCCACGTCCTTCTGTCCATTGACTGGTCAGAAAAATTAATGCAGTGTCCAGTCAAGCCTAATAAATTATAAGTCCACAAAATGAAGTATCACAATGAACTGATGACACTTTGAAGGTCTACGGCGAAAACAGTACATGGTGAGCCAGCTTATTTGCTTTTAAGAGCTTCGTAAGACTTCAAGCCAAAGTTTACTTCAAACATTTGAACAGAATATAATAAACCGTGCATTTTTCCTCTCTTTTCAGTTTTTGGTGCCAACTGACTGTCCACGACACAGGTAGTAAATTCTGACTTAGGCAGTAATCAGTGTTATTGGACAGCCCCAAGATTTGCCATTTTTGGGTTTGTGTTGCTTCATGTGCAGTTGAAAGAACACCAAAAGTTAAAAAATCAGGATACCAGCATCCCACTTTCTACTGTTTAGCTCGAAATGATTTACCTGCAACATGGCAGTGTGTGTCTTTGGGTTGAAAAGCTTTAGGCTTTTGTGTGGTTTTTGCCTTTGGAACTACACCCTACCTGACGCAGTCAACGCCACCTAATACGTCAAGGTTTTAAATGACAATTATCGTCAATGATAAAGGTTAATCTAGTGTGCAATGATCAGTAAACATTTATTAATTGCCCTTGTAGACGAATCTAGCAATTTGAGCAATTAAAAGGCCCCTTACAAATCCTTCCGCGCGATTAGAACTTTCGCACATTTAGAGCATCCTGTAGTGTCCGGAAAAGATGCACATCTCTTGGCGCTAAGTACAGCAGATGTGTGAATGGGGCAAAACGAGGCAGGCTAACTTATGCGTTTTTATTTTTAGCCACCTCGGCGTTGTGTGGCCTTGCATGGTCGCTCGAAAAGGTGGCTACTTTTGCTAAAGCGCGCAGAACACTTCCATTGGTCCTTTATCTGAATATGGACAGTATTGCTGGCCGGTACAATTCGATGTTACCAATTCTTTTGTAGTCCCATTTTAACCAAAAGGAGGTTAATCAAAAATAAAAATTGCCAAACCCTTTGCTTTTTTCTAATTATTGGTCATTTGTCGGGCCTGACTTAACTACTCTCTGTTAACTCGGGCATTTCTTGTGTCCCCCATTATGCTTTATTTGCAGTGGAACTTATCAGACACTCAAATTAAACACCTGATATTTATTTGCCCCTAAACCAGGAATATTTAGCAATAATTGTGCATACGAGTATCAAAATGAGTCAACTCAAGTTCTACCAAACCGATACAATGTATCCGTTTCGTGGTACACACTTGAGCAATTGATGACTAACAATCCACATGCATTTTGGGAGACTGTGCATGGGTTTAATAAAGTCAGAAGGGAAGTATCACAAGGCATATACCTGGCGCGAATCCCGGTGTTACATTCAAAGGGATTTCCAGTTAAACGAATGACCGCAGCCCAGATAAACAAAAGTTGTGCTCATTTGTGGCACAGGTGCCTCATAAGATGTGTCTTGCACGTAGAATCGGACGTTTAAAGAAAGCATTTTTTTTAAATAATGGAACAATGCAGCGTGAAGTTATCTTTGAGTACGATTTGGCGGGAGTTAGTAAAAAAGCAGATAAAAATTTTCAAGGCCGGTTGTGCCGCAGACTCTGTGTTGTGTCTGGGAAGAGGCTAGTCGTTAATGTGATTGCCCATAATGTTAAGAACTTCAGCCGACTATGAAAGCTTTATTCAGAAAATGACCAGGCACTGGTCCATTTTTATCTTCGTAACTAGTTTGTTGAGGATAAAAGGGCAGCCAATGCACTGATTGGAGTCTGTAAGTTTAGCAGGTGCAACCATTATTTTACTAAAGTAAAAACCAACAGAAAAATACCGAAAATTTATTAATAATCATTTGCTGGCGATTTCGGCTGCATGCAACTTCAAAACCACTTTAAGTGGTAAATTTAGTTGTAAATTCAACAAACCCGACAAGCCTAGTAAAACGGTAACATGGGACGACAAGCGACTAATAAACACATTTGAATGATGCACAGAGGATTGTACCTTTGAACTCATTCAAATGAACAGAAATAGCTAATATGTTTGCAACCGCGTCCTGTTCACCATTATTTCCCATAACATTTCGATATTTTATGGTTCCTGTGCTGATCCGTTGATGTTTTGCTTAGGTTTGGCTAGACTGACCACTCAAATGCACGTTATTTGAGGGTTTAACGGCTGTTAATAAAAATAAGGCTGAACTTGCGAGAAATAGAGGGTTTCGGCACCAACTGGAACAAGACACTTGCCAGGTTGACAGCGGCCGACAACGCTGTGATTAAAAGACAGACGGTTTCTGGAGATGTCTCATTACGCCACCACGCTGTCTTATTACGAGGTGCACAGTTGGATCAGATGTGCCGTAAGGTGCCAGATTGTTTTAGCAAATCCTGAGTGCAGTGTTGCTCAGGCGCCTGCCACTTACAATCTTAGCCGGAAAATAGTTTGAAATATTTACCAAATAATAGAGTAGTCGAGTCCAATTGGGGCCTTTTACGTGCTTCCTCGATGTTGTTAGTCACGGTTGCGGCCAATCTCCCTTCAGAAAAAAAGTCGTGCAACATTTAACAAGTTAGTTTCACCTGTGCCCCATTGTTTTAACGACATCGTAGACAGAACTCATTTTGTCACCACCTCAATTGGTTGATTAGCAACTTTTTATTGTCTGGTGCTTATCATTCATAACCATGTTTTATACCTTTCAAGAGGTTTGTAATTCAGCGTTGCGGCGTTACAATGAAGAAGTGGGCCTCTGCGCATTCGTCAGAACATGGGACGCAAATTTCAGTAAAAACGTAATGTACACAAATAACCTTTAAAGCGAAGACTCAGAGAACCTCTAACTAGTCTTCACGATAGGAAAATATTGCGTAGATAAATAAATTGGCTCTTCCCGACAACGACCCAGACTCTTTTAGACCCAAATTGAAAAAGTGTCGTAATGCTGGAAACAGTAAAAACGTTTGTTTGATGGGAAGCATGCATACTTAGGTAGACGGCTGTGGAGTAACAGCACAAATGTTGGATTTAAGTTCTAGGAGGGAGGAAATAGCACGCAAAGTGCTTTGCGCCTCAACTCCTTCACGTAAACTGTTTCCACCTGAAGCACAGTGAACACGAATTTGTACATATTACATTTTCTCATTTGTTGTGACAAAAGCAACAGTGCCTTTTCGACCACTGGTTCAATTTCCTCAACAGGCCGTTGGGCGTTTTCGAAACACGCGATCCAGCCAAGATTTCACTTTCTGCTTAAGTATTCAAATTTGATTGCGCGGCATCACTGAAGTCAGATTAGAGATCGTTACCCAAGTCAAATCTAAGTATTTAGAAGGAATTATTCAGCTGAGGCGACAATTCACTTACCAACTAACAAAAGGGTGTGTAATTGTGATAATCGGCATTTTTGGGCCGTAGGTTAAGGATCTAAGAGGTGTTAGTTTAGTTATCCTGTAATTTAACACAATTTCGTCTTTTCAAGTGTACATTTGAGATCTCGTGGGCCCTCTGTATAGCATAGCACCCACAACTCTTCCTCCTCCGATTATTTGACAAGAAATATGTCTAGTTGAACATACGAGCTTGTGTATGATTATGGCTGCATGACTTGGCGTGAAACGACACTCGTGGTGCGTGGGTGGGAGTGGTGGGGATCCAAAATCGAAAAGCGGTAGTAATCAGATAACGCGGTATCACCGAGCTAAATATAATTTATTCATAGTTTTCGCCTTCGCGAGGTTATGAAATTTTGTGCGTCTTTAAACATTTAAGTAAGTGAAAAATGAAGAAACCGATAAAATGTTAGCGGAAGATTAGATAATTTTGTTTAATGCGGATTCTTACGCAAATAAGACCAAACCTCCATAAAAATGATATGCTGAACGGGGTTAGCTTCGGTAGGGAGATTTTGCAACACAAAATGAATTTGGTTAACCTCTGTGGTAAAGCAGGGGTGAAACTGCTTTGCCGATAAGCTGTTAATGTGGAAAACCTTCAACCTTACTAATCTCGTTAAAAACATGACCTAACCTAGGACTCCAACTATCTAAACATCCTAACCCCACCCAAGAATACTGAAACCAGTGGGTAACAATGAAGTGCATAATTATTTCTTACCCATAGGATTTGTCCTTCTTTTCCGTTCATCAAATTGTCCATGGTGTTTTCATAGAGCGGATTTCCTTTCGACGACGGATACACTTTCTTGTCTGCAAGCGGACTAATATCCCCACTGGTGCTGTAGGACCCGCCCTCCTCCTCCTGTTCCTCGTCCTCCCTCTCGAACTCCGCCAAGAAGCCACCCCCACGGACCTGCTTCAAGGCGTCGTCGGTCTCGGTGATGTTTGTGCAAAAATTCGCCAACGAATTCGCCGTTCCCGCATAGAATTCGACCGTATTATTCCCTGCCTGGCCTTGGAACCCCATAATTTCTGCCGTGGTTCCACGAAGGGCCGAGGCGGTGGTAATGCTAGGACCGTAGCCGTACAGAGTCGGTGATTCACAGTCCCACATATTGGTGCTCTATTCCTGCCCAGATGCTTCAGCAACACAATACGGCGCAAGTGAGCAGCAGAAACTTCCACCTATTGTGTGCCTGTGCGCGCACGTAGAGGCCCAGACGCCTGTTCCCCCTCCCCCTACCCCTACTCCCCCGAGCATCCCACCTTACGCGCACTTGGTGCGCACGCGCCACCAAGTGGGAGTCGCGCGTTGCGAGTACGGCGGCGCGTGCGCAGCGCGCATTGTCACGCCTCAGAGAAGAGTGACAGCGAGTTTGAGTTTGTAGCCCCGTGAACTCCCGTTAATAAAATAAACATTGCGAGAGGCAAAGCAGTGCCATTCGTGGCGTCTACAGTTTCAGAGGATTTAGATTTCGCGTAACCATGTTCGTTCAGCGATCGATGCTTAGCAAGGCTATACAAACTGACTTGTTACCTTGTACATAACACGGCTACAGCATCAATAAATTAGTTGAACTACGCGCCACCTGTATCTCTTCTCATTCCTTCCGTCGGACTGCATCGACGTGGATTGTCGGCCCTGGTGTGGTTCCCACAACCGTACCGGGTCTGCACCGATGTTGTCAATTATAACTGCTTAAACAGATTAACGGTAGTATTCAGCTCAATTTTAGTTTAATTCACATGAGGGATGTCGGTTCGCTTTATTTCTGTTGCCTTTTGTCAAAACCTCAAGTGAGGGAAAAAGTTGGAGAGCAAGTAATTCAGAATTTTCAACCTATACATTAATTTGCTTGTGGGACTGCGGATCAACCAACCAACCAGTATCTTCATGCTACCCAATCCTGATCGCCTGGTTACGCGTTGCACAAATCATTAAGACGACCATCATGAGGATCGGCTACGAGGTTTTGAAGCATCCTCCACACAGTCTGCGAATCGCTCAATCAGATTACCATTTTCTAACAGCACTACATCTCAAGGATTGGCTTGATGACAATTTAGTGACGAAGCAGGAAATGTGTGGCGAAGTGGGTTGAAATGTCAACCTTTTTTTATTGTCGTTTCATTTTCGTTGTGTTGATGCTAATTTGTGATTAGAATAGACCAATTAACTTCTGCCTCAGTTCAATAAATAAATAAATGGTCCGTAAAATACCAAGCTAAGTCAATAATATTTGAATTGAAAATAACTCAGTTGAATGGAAGAAAACGACTTTTGTTATATGAAGGTAGACAGAAGTAGCTTTAAAACGTTGAGGTGTCAATATCTTCCCTTCCATGCCCATTACTCTAATCCTACTGATAGTGTGGAATTCCTGATTGACAGGGCTTGGATTGTACTCAGGTCTCGATCACATTAATCGTTGCAATTTATCAACGAGTCCGTGGAACTTTCTGGGTGTTGAGGACTTTCGAATCATGAGAGTTAAAAAGGATGCGTCTGTTGTTTAAATATCTGTAACCTGTCGAAATCAAAACGGATGTTTTCGAGAAAAGGAAGGAATGGAATTTTAATACCTTTGTGAATTGTATACAACTCCAGGTCTTTCACATTATTGTGGAAATTAGGAATTAGTAAACTGCAATTTTAAAGAACTATTAAAACAAATACTTTTTTCCGATTTCATTACTGTTATTGTTCTGTGTTCGTGGCACTAAATTTGATTTAATTTTAAACAAAATAACTCAGACATTGAAACCGAGACCTTATTTATGCTTTTCCTCAGTGTTTACTACTTGCTGAAAAGTGTAGGATTTAGTGAAGAAAACAGTGCGCAAGCACACACTGTTGTGGCGAAAGCGCACCTACGACACAAAATGCATAAATAAGCCAGGTTACTAGAATTAGATTCGATGTTTACGGTTGCACGATAAATGTGTAAATCCACTTCAAAATGCTGCAAAAGACAGTTTTCAGGTAGATCTTGGCTAGTCAGCAGCCAATGTAGACATCACACAAGGCTGTAGACCCTGCGGTGTATATTTTCCCTTACAATTGTAAAATACGTGATATTTGCAGAATCTTGGACACTTGTCCTCTGCACAACCTCTTACGTCGCTCCCAATTTCTCTGATGATGTAGATATTTGACAATACCCTGAGTTCCGCTTTTGTCATACTCCACAACCTTTCTCCGTAAAACTCATTTTTGCAAGTGCATACTTAGTCTTTCAAAAAAATGAAGAGTGGAAATCAAGCTAAGCGCTATTTCTATGAGCTGCAAACCTTTCAACAGTCGATGATTATCTTGGCGTATTTGAGGAATTTACATGAATTTAAGAACTACAGTTGCAATAACATGAATTGCGGTGGGTGAGTAGAAATGCAAGTAGAGGTTCGCTGTTTACGATGATTTTAATAAAATAACAAATCTTTCATTCACGGTATCATCGGTTCTAAAGTTTAGCAAGCAATTCACCTTCTTAGTCCCCCCCCCCAGCAAATGGTTATGTTGACCTAAACATCTCGTTTTATAGATGTTTTTTTCTATCTAGTGCATACCCAAGAGCCCATAGAGCTAAATCACCGCACCTGATTACTGCGGTTCAGGGATGTAAACGTGAATGGACTTAGGGAGGGCAAAGCGGGTCTCCTAGTTTCCCATGTACCCCGATCTTATCTCGACGCGTCCCATGCGAGCGAAAAAAACCATCAGCTCCTGCCGATGTGGTTCCCTCTTTAGGGTTCTTCCGGTTGTCATTTCTGTCGATACGCGTATGCGTCCCTATCTGTTGTTGGCATCTTGTTGCATCCCAAGAGGGTGTGTGTGGTATTTAACTGCGTTCTCTTTTCTTTCCATTAACCAACTTCCCCACCCCCTCCGCCAGAGGCATGTCTGCTTGTTGGCTCCCCTTCCGTGGTGGATTCAATGAAACTGCCAAACCTTACCCCGAAATGGAGGGGCATGCAGAGGGCTGAAGCAAACTGGACTGTCAAGTGGTGTGTCGCGGAAATCAAGCTTGGCCAGGAAGCATTAAAGGGGAATGCACCTCGGTAAACCTATGTCTCTGGCACTTTCCAATTTCGGACGCTTGCAGACTTGCTATCAAACCACAGATAATGGCCGTTATTTAGCGTCTTTGGTAGCCGAAACACCAAATGAGTCACTTTCCAACTCTGCGGCAGATGTACACTAATGTTATGTTGTTGTTCAAGCGCCCACCTTAAACTTGTGCGGTGTTCGGCCAGGCAAGGAAGGGGTGAACTAGGGGCGACTGAGTTACCACGCTGTTGAACACCAACAACGTGTCCATGTAACAAAACAAGGATTTATATCAAGTAAGAAGAAGAAAATTAAGCCTGCTTTGAAGATCGACCTAACTAAAAGGTCATGTAGGGACTTTTCGAAAGTTGTAAAACCCCCAAGAACGTATATTAACGATCAGTGAATTTAATATGTAGCATTAGATTAATCAAAGGAGCCTCATTTCGGCCAGCAGCACATCAGAAAGACCAATTAGAAGTATCTAAGAACGCAAATCAATGCAGATATTAGGTACATTGTTCCACTCCGGCAATGGCGCTCCACACGACCGATTTAAGACAAAGATTCCTAAACATTCCCAACTGGCAGCTTCTGGACTCACTTTAGTTGCTCAGCAATATAGTAAACATCAAAACATAACGGATATGTCTCTGCTGACGAATAAACTGTGATAAAGATTTTGTTTAAATAACTATCAGGCTGTTTAAAATAACAATGTTAACTGCCAGGTTTGAATTCGAAGCCTTCGTGCAGTTAGCAATTACCTTGAAGGCGTTTAATTCGATCTACGTCTAAGACGCTAACGGAATGCATAGCCAACAGTCAAGCTCATCTCAAGAAAGAGCATGCTCAAACGGCCTGTCACATTACAGTGCCGCTTAGACCAAATTCAGTTGTCTTCGGATGCTTTGTCCAGCCCTTTTTGATGCAGGACCTGAGGCAACCAACGTCTTCAGCAATGGTCTCAGTAGGACTCGTGACTTTCACAAGACCCAATCCTTTGGAAACAATCGTTTACCAACGCCGAACTTTGGATATTTCTAACTATGTTAGTATAATTGATACATTATTTGGAATGGAGGTACACAATGGGTTGTGTGTTTTTGAGAATTACCAGTATGGCAGGACCTAGGTCAAGGCGGGAATGGCATTCCAGCTGACTTATCTTAAAAAGCGAACAGCGATTTGAGTAAATTCAATCGTAGGAGATTCCACCACTGAACCTCCTCAGTTTCTCATAAATAGTGTGAGTGAATTTTTGTTAAGATAGGCTGCATCCCTGAAAATCAACAAGCCTAGAGGAAACGGTAACTTTTGCATTAATGTAGATTTGGTAAGCCGTGCAGGAAGATACGGGATGTCAAAAACCTGATCCCATCTGCAAAACCCTTTAATAAAGATGTTTCAGCATAATTATACCGGAAGAAAAGGCCTCCGTCATCGTACGACTTTAGGAAGAAAACACCGCCTGATGCCTGCCTTTCCAGGTACGTAGCTCTTCAAGGGCAGGATGATTGATTCAAACGTTTCAGGACATTAGCCTGATTACAACAGTCGATCCAATAAATCGATGCCTTACTCCTCCTCAATACCACCAACGGTCCTCCAGAGAAAGTAATTTCAGATGTGCTGACTTGTCATTGTTGTTCAATCTGCTCTGAAACAAGGTTTTGACACTTTAGTAATCCTCCATTTAGAAATAATTAGTTCCACAAGGTATTCGCTTGTTTTACACCGAGTGGGCCCTATATTTACACACATTCGCGCGCAAACATAATTTGACGCAACTTTGCCCAGTGGATACGTAGAAAATCATACCTTACCCACCATTTTCTGTTTTCATCATGGGAAACGCATGTAGACTCGTGTCACTGCCGCTAATCACTACCTCATGTGGATTTTTGTCTTTCCGTGCCGTCAGCGGTTTTCTTGGGATCGTTGGCTGCTTTGTCAAGTTAAATGTTGGAAATCGGGGTGCATATTACTGTACCTGTAATTTAATGTTGTAATGTTGTTCTGTAAATGGATTATCGTCTTTGCATGCGATGCCTGGCGCCTGTAGT